ACCCATGCATGCGCGTGGCAAGGTGACTTTTGAGTCGACTCAAAAGTCACCTCGTACATGAGCAAAGAGACAAGGTTACGAGGACAGGCATGGTTCATGTATCCATACCTGCATGAGAGGCAGGTAGGAGGGCAGATCGAGCGTGAAGGCCCACGGCCCATTCTCTGCCGTCGCTCCCTCGTGACCCTGTGCATGTCACCAAACGAGTAACGCAAGTCAGCGCATGAGGCAGGGGGTGCACACGGGTGGCAGGGGGTGCACACGGGTGGCACGGGTGCACATGGGTGGCAAGGGTGGAAGAGGAAAGCGTGATTGATTGAAGGAGGTGCAAGTGACAAGGCTATGGGGACAGCAGAGAAACAGCAGCAGCAGCGGCAGCAGCAGAAGCACCCACGCACCTTGCCAACAGCGGCCTGAGCAGCAAGGCCCAGCGCAGAGGGCGGCAGGCCCGCCACGTCAGCGGGGTCGGTGACGATGCGGACGAAGTTCTTGGTGGCGTCGAGCACGTTGTTCTGGAACTTGGTCTTGAGCTGCGCTATCTCCTGCTGGATCCTGTTGAACTGCTCCTTCGCCTCCCCCTCCAGCGCCACCCCGCTGGTCTTGGCGGATGTGAGCTCGGCTGGGAGGGGCCAGGGGGAAGAGAGGTCAGGGAGGGGATGAGTCAGGGAGGAGTTGAGTTAAGGGGTGGACGAATGGAACTTGGTCTATCTCCTGCTGCACCGAGTTGAACCGCACCTTTGCCTCTCCTTCCAGGGCCACGCCGCTGGTCTTGGCGGACGTGAGCTCGGCTGCACGGGAGGGAGGTCAGGGAGGAGATGAGTGGAGGACGGAAATGGGCGGCAAATCGAGTGGAGGACGGAAATGGGCGACGAATCGAGTGGAGGACGGAACTGGGTGACGAATTGAAACAAGCCGAGGATGCGCGAGGGGAATTGAGACACCATGTCCAGCCACCCACCCAGCGGCCACACAGCGACCCACACGCACCAGCCTACGCACACACCAGCTCACCCTTCACCACCAACCCACCCCACCAACCCACACTCACCAACCCACACTCACCAACCCACACTCACTAACCCACCCCACCAACCCACACTCACTAACCCACCCCACCAACCCACACTCACTAACCCACACCCACCAACCCACACTCACTAACCCACACGCGTCAACTCACACGCAGCAATCCACACGCACCAACCACACACACCAGCCCACGCCCACCAAACTCAACCCCCAACTCACACTCAACGACGCGCTTCTGCGCCACGCTGAGGCTCGCCCACAACGCCTCATCGTTCCTAATCGCCACAAACGCGTCGTAAATGGGGCGGCTCTGCCCAAGGCGCAGCGAGAGCGCCACCACGTCCGGCTGCACCTCCTCGAACGCCGCCCGCAGATCGTCCGAGTTCTTGACGGCGTTGAGGTGGTTCACCGCGCCCCACGGGATCGACAGCCGGTCCTGCAGTCGCTCCAGGGGCTCCACCAGGCCCGCCCATGTGGGCTTCACGTTCTTTTCCAGGGCGTCCAGCTGCTCCTCCTGCGGGAATCAGTGTGAAAGACGGGACAAAACAGGTACTTGAGTTTGCACATTGTATCTTGCGTTCTTCTCCAGGGCGTCCAGCTGCTCCTCATGCGGGTATGAGTGTGAATGCGGGATGATGTGAGCGTGGGAGTCGAATTTCGTGTGGAATCTCTTGTCCATTCCTGAACGTTTGGCTGCTTCAGTGAATATCAGTGTAAAACGCGATGAGGATATTGGGACGACATCGAATCTGGCATCATTCGCTCCTCCCAAGACTAGTTTCCTGAGAATTTGAGTACTCAGACTGACACATTGACTACTCAGACACTATTTCTGGAACATTGAGTGCTCAGACGATACGTTCGTGCGACATCGAGTTCTCAGACACTGAAATCCAACGACACATGTTGATCAGACACTAGATTCCTGAGACGTTGAGTGCTCGGTCACTAGATTCCTGAGACGTTGAGTGCTCGGTCACTAGATTTCTGAGACGTTGAGTGCTCGGTCACTAGATTTCTGAGACGTTGAGTGCTCGGTCACTAGATTCCTGAGACGTTGAGTGCTCGGTCACTAGATTCCTGAGACGTTGAGTGCTCGGTCACTAGATTCCTGAGACGTTGAGTGCTCGGTCACTAGATTCCTGAGACGTTGAGTGCTCGGTCACTAGATTCCTGAGACGTTGAGTGCTCGGTCACTAGATTCCTGAGACGTTGAGTGCTCGGTCACTAGATTCCTGAGACGTTGAGTGCTCGGTCACTAGATTTCTGAGACGTTGAGTGCTCGGTCACTAGATTCCTGAGACGTTGAGTGCTCGGTCACTAGATTTCTGAGACGTTGAGTGCTCGGTCACTAGATTCCTGAGACGTTGACAGCTCAGACGACTGATTCGTGAGAATCCAGTGCTCAGACGACTGATTCGTGAGAATCCAGTGCTCAGACGACTGATTCGTGAGAATCCAGTGCTCAGACGACTGATTCGTGAGAATCCAGTGCTCAGACGACTGATTCGTGAGAATCCAGTGCTCAGACGACTGATTCGTGAGAATCCAGTGCTCAGACGACTGATTCGTGAGAATCCAGTGCTCAGACGACTGATTCGTGAGAATCCAGTGCTCAGACGACTGATTCGTGAGAATCCAGTGCTCAGACGACTGATTCGTGAGAATCCAGTGCTCAGACGACTGATTCGTGAGAATCCAGTGCTCAGACAACTGATATCCGACGACTCTGAGCGACCAGACACTAGATTCTTGAGACATTGAGTGCTCAGACAGATTCCTGCGACATTAGTGCTTCGACACTTGTTTTTTGAGAAATTAAGTGTTCAGACAGTGCATTCCTGCGACATTGAGTGCTTAAACACTTGCTGGATTCCTCCGACACAAAATTTGTGAGACACTGAGTTCGCAGACATGGAATGAGACATTGAGCGCTCAGACTTGCCGCTTCGCTACGTACCACTTCCTTGAGAATGGCCCGCATGCCGGGCACGACGTGCTTCGGCTCGATCTTATCGAACAGCGGGATCGACGCGGGATTCAGCGACAGCAGCGGATTCTCCTGGATGTCTGTTGGAGCCTCCGTGGTTGCCGCTGCTGCAGCCATTGTCACTAGTGGTCGGGTCTTTACAGACGAAATTCCGGACACGAGTAACGACCCGCGCCCTGAATTGATCGCGGATAGTGAATTTGGTCGCGCGACAAGGCGGTTCGAGCAGAGAGAGGAGGGAGTCGGAAGCAAGCAGATCCCGACCGTTCGATTGCCGGCCTTGCCTGAGAGCTCGGCTCGCAGCAAGCTAGGAGAACTCTTGAGCGCTGACGGGGCGCTAGAGGAGCACAGAGGCATGGAGAGGGAAAGGGCCATAAGCAGACCAATCCTAGCTCGTGGCGGCTGGATATGTGCGAGAAACTTCAAGCTTGAAGTTGCTGTTGACACGAGCATGGCGTGAAATAATGTTTGCTGAAGTTCAACAAAAATACAGCGCGAGGAGCTGGGCTGGGCTGCATTCAGCGCGAGCAGTCGCGGGAACAGACGCAACAGGCGGAACAGCGGAAGAGGGAAAGAGGGGAAACTGTGAATCTGATCGGGAGAAAAGGCCACAAGCAGGGCGCTGCACTTCGGTTGGCGGAGGGGGGAGAGGGGGGAACGAAGTGAGAGTGAGCGCAGGGAACTTTGTGGTCTGCCACGAGGCCGCTGATGACGCTGCCACGCGTCCAGCTTTGCGAAATGGCCAATGATAACAGTCTATTCACCTCGATTGCACCGAGCAGTGCTTCGTTATGGCAGTAGAACTACGAGTGGCTCCTAGACTACATGTTGTGGTAGGGAAGAAACTAGGTTTGACCAAGAAACATGACAACATGTGTTATTGATGCGGAGACTAACCACGCCATGCTAGGCGGTACCATGAAAATATACAACTGAATCTATGTACTGAGGCAAGAAGATTAGAGAAAGACAGTGGATTTTCAAAGAACTTGAAGTAACCTTCCTCCAGCAAAAGGACACGGGCCAAAACTGTCGGTGCTGGGATTCGAGCCCAGGTCTCCACGGCCACAACGTGGGATTCTAACCACTAAACTACACCGACATGTCTATGACGAAAACAAAATTTAAATTATTCGTTTTAAAAATTGCAATCACTCCAGGCGCAGATCAGGCTGACGCGTGTTTCACTCGCGATCAGTGTCAGGACATGAGCAGATCCGCAACGCATTGCACAGAACCAGGCACGTCTTATTCTTCGCGTGTGTTATATATACATCCATACCTTCGTTAGCCTATCGGAATATCCGGAGTGCAAGCTCCAATCTCCAACCTAGCAAGGAGCAGGTGCAGGAGCCGGCGGAGGAGGAGGAGGCAGCGCGGCATGGATTGGGGCAACGTGACGGGCGAGGAGCTGGTGGACGCGCTGCGGGAGGTGGAGTGGTCCACGCCGCCGCGCCCGCTGGCGGAGTTCGTGCAACGCTTCTCCACGCCCAAGAACGCCAGCAAGTGGCGCAGCCGCCTCAAGTGCAATGCCTACTAGTGAGCGTTCGGTCGATACCCTAACCGGAGATTAGACGTCTCGTTACTCGCCTTGGGGCTAGATTATTCTGCGAAGACGTAGTCGTAGCTCGTATCTTTCCATTTGAGCTGGAACGGAGGCGTCGCGATGTGATGAAAGGGAGACATGCCGATGTAGTACGTAGGACGATCACGATGACTTCTGCCGATGTTGACCATGGGCCGAAATGTCATGGAACGATGTTGATCTCGCGTGCACGTCTCATAAACGATTCAGCATCTCACGGCACAGCTTAGCAGCACGTGTTCGGGCTTTTCCCTGTGCCGCATATCTCACTTTTCTGATCCCTTCCGCTGACTGATCCTCCGCCCACCGTAGCATCGCATAGCGCGTATGATTCATTCATCCCGGTTTCCCCGTCTTTCCCCGTGCCTCCGCGGCAGCTATCGCACCAACTACTACATCCTCGTCTGCTTCGTCAACGGTATGCCCCCACTTCCAATCGCACGTCTGTCGTTGGACTGATAACCTAATCGTTCCATTGCACCCAACACGGCCGGCCTGGCTAGCTCCGGTAGTGAGCTGCAGTAGTGTTTTGCTCTTGCTGAGACAACAGTGCGCTTTTCCTTTGAGCTCTCCCCCCTTCTCCGCCCACCCTCCCCTCCCCAAACACCCCTCTCCTCGCCTCCCCTCGCCTCCCCTCTCCGTCCCCACCCCCTCCCGCGGGCTGCCTCCCCCTCTCATCGTAATGACATTACGTTTGTCCTCCGCCGCTCTGCCCGGCAAATCCCCCCGCCAGCGTGCTGTTTCGCGCGCAACCCTCTCGCGCTGCTCGCCGTGCTGCTCGCGTCCATCGCCCTCGCCAGCCTCAACGACAGGTCAGTCGCCCCGCTGCCACAGGTGCGTACCTCGCGTCGACTCCAGATCTCTAGCCAATCTCAACAACGGATCAGTCGGCCGTGCTGCCACATGTGCGTCGCTACGTCCGGTTGAGAGGTTCAGTTCTGCAGGGGTTGACACGACAGGCTTGCCAGTATAACTGGCACTTGAGCGCCTGGAAAGTTGCCAGACATGTGAAAGTACAAGCTTCTGAAGGGTATTACTTAGAATTCTTAAAAAATACCCTCCAATCCCAATCCCCTCTCTTTCCCATCTCCCATTGCTCCTCTCGCGCACCCTCTGCTTTGTTCTCCTCTCATCTCCCATCTCTGCTGACTCCCATCCTCCTCCTGTCTCGCTCCCATCCCCCTCCTCCCCCCCTCTCACTTCCCCCCCCCATCCTCCTCCCATTCCCCTCCGCTTGCGCTCCCGTTCCTCCCTCGTCCAACCCCCTCCCCTCGTTGTGCCGCCCCGCTTCCTCCCTCCCTCCCCTTCCCCCTCCCAGTTTCGCCCTCTCTCGGCGAGCGCCTCACTTGAGCCACGTCTCCGCGTTCTCCCATTCCCCTCCCCTTGTCATCGCTTGCCCCTTCGTCTCTCATTCCTCGCTCTCTCCCTTCCCCCCCACAGCTTCGCCCTGTCTCTCAGCGAGCGCCTCACTCGAGCCATGTCCCCCCACCTTCGATCTCCCATTCCCCTCCCCTTGTCATCCCTTGCCCCTTCCCCTCCCATTCCCTGCCCTTTGCCTTCCCCACCTTCAGTTTCGCCCTGTCTCTCAGCGAGCGCCTCACTCGAGCCATCAGGAAGCTCTCTCCGCCCCTGGCAGCCAAGCTTCGGCCACCCCAACAGTACGCAGCCTTTCATAAGCCGCCCTCCTCCCCCCGTTACCCCCTGCTGCACTTTGCTTCCTGTACGCCACTCCATCAGTCATTGCTCCACATAGGGGCATTTGTTTCTCGCCATGGGTCCACATAGGGGCATTTGTTTCTCGCCATGGGTCCACATAGGGGCATTTGTTTCTCGCCATGGGTCCACATAGGGGCATTTGTTTCTCGCCATGGGTCCACATAGGGGCATTTGTTTCTCGCCATGGGTCCACATAGGGGCATTTGTTTCTCGCCATGGGTCCACATAGGGGCATTTGTTTCTCGCCATGGGTCCACATAGGGGCATTTGTTTCTCGCCATGGGTCCACATAGGGGCATTTGTTTCTCGCCATGGGTCCACATAGGGGCATTTGTTTCTCGCCATGGGTCCACATAGGGGCATTTGTTTCTCGCCATGGGTCCCCCTGCCGTTCCATGCCCCTATGATCCCCACATCCGTGCTGGTTCTGCTCAGGAGGGCGGGGGTAGGGGCTTTCTCTTCATCTTCTGTCTTGCCCTACCATTCCTCTTGCCTTGCACCCTTGAGTCCGCTAACTGCTGCTGGTTGCGCTCAGGCGCACGGGAGTGAGGGGGCGGCCGTTGAGAGGAGCGGTGTACATCTGCGGGCAGGACAGACGGGTCGCGCTGTTCCTGCTGCTATTCCGTATGTGCCATGCCATGCCATGCCATGCCTCTTGCTTTTGCTGCTGGTCAGTGTGTGGTGCATGGATGGGGTACGGGGCTTTCTGCGCATGTTGCATGCCCACATAACGATGAGCTGCGAGCCTGAATTCCCCATTGTCCTGATTCACATATGCGGCCCACCTTCTGACCTGTACTCTCCTGACCCCCCTTTCCGCCCTGCATGATTCGCCCCTCCCACCCGCCTCCTGTTGCACCCCCTGCTGCTTCCTGCAGTGAGCGCGTGGCTGAACTACGTCTCAAGAGCCTACGTCACGTTTGCAATTGCCTTCACCTCGAGTGTTCTGCGTGAGTCGATGCCCCCTAGACCATGCTGCTTCTCAGTCGCAATCCACAACCCTGCAGTCTGTGTTGCACACAAAGCCCAGCATCTTCATCCGGTGCTTGCTGCCTGTGGCCTAGCGCTGCTGTATTTGTTGCCAGACGTGTTCCCTGATGTGCTTGTATGACTCTTCCTCGCATCTTATTGGATTGCTGATTTCTAGGGCTTCCATTGATGGTCGTACACGCTACTTTCTAGTGAGTTCCCTTGCAACTCTTTACCCCCCTCCCGCCTCCATTCCACTCCCCTCCCCTCGCCCTGGTCCCAGTGGTGGTGGTGCACGCTACTTTCCGGTCGCCCAATCTCAAGGCCCGGCTAAACTCGTACAGAGAGGAGTTCAGAGCGGTGTGGCGTGGCTACAGTGATGCGCCCTGATACAGCGGCACGCTTTCCTTGCTTGCTAGAGCAAAATGCTCGTATAAAGCTCCGTTCTCATACAGCATGCAACCTTCATACCTTGCCATTCTCCACATGTCGAAGGACAGTTGAAGCCAGTGCTGCTGCTACAGCAAGGGGAAACACCAGCACCTGCCGGTTTCAGCTCGCTCATCCAAAGCTCATGTGATTGGGCAACCTAGAAGTGCTTTCCCTTCCCTCCCCATACGCCAGTCAGTAGGAGTGTTGGCAGGTAACTAGCAACTAGCATATGAAATCAAACGCTTACACAAGACTTGAGGGAAGCTGGGAGTCAATGCCATTATAGATAATGTCAGCAGAATCTAGAACTTGAGGTTCGATCCTTGCTGGAACTATGGTCGTGTGGTCACACAACACAACTGATCAGGAGAATGACAATGTGAGTGACTCCTGTTGCGGCTGGTGCTGCCACACCTGTGACGTACCATGTTGTAGGAAACATGGGGTTCAGGCGATAAAGAAGAGAGACCTTGGTGAGTAGGGAGCGAAGGGCATGAAAAAGAACTACCGGTAGAGGCCCAGTGGAGAAATGAGGGAAGTCGAGTGCTTGTAATCATGCATGTGTGGTAGAGAGTGAAAAGGGGGGGCGAGAGTGAGAGCGAGAGAGAGATGGGGGGAGGATTATTGGAAGCAACAGGGGACTATGGAGGGATAGAAGGGTTGGGAGGTGAGGTGCACCTTGACTCCAGCGAGCTCCAGCAGTTTCCTGGAAGCCGCGTACGCAATGTCCTTGGGGTTGCGAGTGGGTGGCTTGTCGGAGAAGAAAATGACCTCCTTGATTCCTGCCTGCCATGCACGCACACCATGAGGTAGTAATTTATTAGCCCGTGCACGCACACCATGAGGTAGTAATTTATTAGCCCTTGCACGCACACCATGAGGTAGTAATTTATTAGCCCTTGCACGCACACCATGAGGTAGTAATTTATTAGCCCTTGCACGCACACCATGAGGTAGTAATTTATTAGCCCTTGCACGCACACACCATGAGCCATGTGCGCGGTAGGCCATGTGCATGTGAATGGTGCATGTGAATGGTGCATGTGAATGGTGCATGTGAAATGCATATGGATCGTCCATGTGAAAGAATGGCAGTGGGGAAGGTGAGCCCAGTGAGGAGAAGAGGAGTGGGCAGCAGCAGCACAGGGGTGAGCAGTGGGCTGACCTGGATGATGACTTTGGCGCAGTCGTTGCAGGGAAACATGGTCACGTACAGGCGCTGCCATGCCATGTGACACACACACACACACAGATTGCCACGTAAGAAACACGCACACACAAGCACTGGCATCACACTTCAAAATTATGGAGGTAAGAATCGTCATGACAGAGGCATGCAGAAAGGAATACCTGGTCAGGTGGCAGACATACCTGGTCAGGTGGCAGACATACCTGGTCAGGTGGCAGACATACCTGGTCAGGTGGCAGACATACCTGGTCAGGTGGCAGACATACCTGGTCAGGTGGCAGACATACCTGGTCAGGTGGCAGACATACCTGGTCAGCTGAGAGGCATACCTGGTCAAGCGCAGAGGCATGGTTTCTGTTGAGCACAGCGTTGACCTCCGCATGGCACACATAGCTGGCACACAGGTGCATGCAGGGAAGGGATTGGAGGTATGAAGGGCTCTAAGCGCTCGAAGGGAATGGAGGTGATGTTGAGCCATGGGACGGGCGATGAGTGCGGGAAGAGAAATGAGGTGCAGCAGCATGAACACACCTCGCGCCTTGCTGGTGGTTGACGATGCAAAGCGGCACACAGATAAGCACACGATTTTCGAGGCGCCTCAAAAAGCAGCGCACAGATAAGCACACGATTTTCGAGGCGCCTCAAAAAGCAGCGCACAGATAAGCACACGATTTCTGAGGCGCCTCAAAAAGCAGCGCACAGATAAGCACACGCGCTGAAAGCACGGAGCAACTTACGGGTACTTGGTCTCGAGCGGGTCGTTCTGCGCTGAAAGCTGCACATGTGAGGGGAGAGAGGAAGGCAGCGACAGAGGGATGGACAGCAGAGGTGGAGAGAGGGAGAGGGGTGAAGCACCGAGCCTGACCAGATTAGACTGACGACACTCTGACATGGGATAGGAAGCATAACGAAAAGCCTGATATGACCATATCCCACCTTGGCCCATGGCGCACCATCCCACCTTGGCCCATGGCGCACCATCCCACCTTGGCCCATGGCGCACCATCCCACCTTGGCCATGGCGCACCATCCCACCTTGGCCATGGCGCACCATCCCACCCTGGCCCATGGCGCACCATCCCACCTTGGCCATGGCGCACCATCCCACCCTGGCCCATGGCGCACCATCCCACCTTGGCCATGGCGCACCATCCCACCCTGGCCCATGGCGCACCATCCCACCCTGGCCCATGGCGCACCATCCCACCTTGGCCCATGGCGCACCATCCCACCTTGGCCATGGCGCACCATCCCACCTTGGCCATGGCGCACCATCCCACCTTGGCCCATGGCAGGAGAGCGTCAGGTATACCCCTGGGGAAGCCATTGTAGCCGATGCCAAGAATGACATGGTCGCTGCCCACAATGCATGCTCCCACCTGCAAGCACGCATCCGAGCACGCAATGTCGCAACGGGAGGTATCTCGTTGGAATTTCCTGCCTGATAGAAACACCTGCTGTTTGTTAGAATCACCTGTCTGTTGGAATCTCCTGTCTGTTGAGATCACCTGTCTGTTTGGGTCTTTGGATCGCTGAGCGGAGAGGAACGCCATTGCCATGAAGTAGTCATCCCATGACAGGTACCTGCCATGCCATGCCATGCCAGGCCATGCCATGCCATGCCATGATTTAGGGGGGAAACAGCAAAAAGCACATGCAGAGTGCACAGAGCACATGTAGCGTGCACAGAGCACATGTAGCGTGCACAGAGCACATGCAGCGTGCACAGAGCACATGCAGCGTGCACAGAGCACATGTAGCGTGCACAGAGCACATGTAGCGTGCACAGAGCACATGCAGCGTGCACAGAGCACATGCAGCGTGCACAGAGCACATGTAGCGTGCACAGAGCACATGTAGCGTGCACAGAGCACATGTAGCGTGCACAGAGCACATGCAGCGTGCACAGAGCACATGCAGCGTGCACAGAGCACATGTAGCGTGCACAGAGCACATGTAGCGTGCACAGAGCACATGTAGCGTGCACAGAGCACATGTAGCGTGCACAGAGCACATGTAGCGTGCACAGAGCACATGTAGCGTGCACAGAGCACATGTAGCGTGCACAGAGCACATGTAGCGTGCACAGAGCACATGTAGCGTGCACAGAGCACATGTAGCGTGCACAGAGCATTGACATCAATCTCACTTGGGCGACACACGATGCATGAGGCATGAATCATGAGTCATGAGTTGGAGTTGTAGCATCAGTCGCCAGCAAGTCCACACTCCACCACGCACCTCCACACACACCCATCACCTCGCACACATCGTAACCATGTCCATCTTCGCCGCTTACCCTCTTCTCATTCTTGCATCATACGGATCATGCTTCCTCCGATGATCCTTCCCCGTCCCTTCCCCCGTCAGTCCCGTCGCCTCCCTCTCACTCTCCTCCCTCTCATCGCCGTCTCCTCCTTCCGCCTTCCTCTCACCCTCCACGAGCCCCCCCATCGAGCACCCTTTCATCGCCATCTGCCGCGACATCGCTCCTGCTTGCTCGTTCGCGATGGTGTCTGCTTCGCCCGTCTCGCCCGTCGGAGCTTCCGCCGCGCCGCAGCTCATCCGTCGCCCTGCTTCACTGCGCCCCGCAGTCGTTCCCCCGTCCCGCCGTCCGCCAACGGCGCAACCGCCTCCTGCATTGGCGCAGCGGGCGCACGAATCACGCCGACGGCTGCAGTGCGCAGACCCGTCAGAACATCGCGCGGAACCGTCGGGGCATTGCGCGGAACTGCTGCAGCAACAGCATGCGGGATTGTTCGGGGGACGGCTATTCGGCGCACGGGTATCGGTAGAGTGACACGGGGCAGGGTCGGGCGGAGAGCGGTTCGCGCGGGTGGAAGGCCGGGAGAGCGCGAAGCAGGTGGCGGAGAATGCGGCGGCGGAAACGGCGGCTCCGAGCGCGGTTCCCGCGAGGGCGGCGAGGAGAAGGTCGGAGGAGAGCGGCGCGCGCGACATGGCGGAATAGGATACAAAACTCGGTTTAATGCGAATGCGAGAATGCGAAAAGTGCCAAATGCGAAGCTTTCTATCACGGGGCGAGGAGAAGGTGGAACGAGACGGGCGCACGTGGCATGGCAGGAGGATCAGAAATGAGCGAGTACGCGCAATGGGAGAGAGGCAAAGGCAGGGTGTTGCACCGGCGAGCTACCATCGAATGGGTGACTGAGTCTCGAAGGTCGCTGACTTATTTTGCACGGTGATTCAGCAGCGAGCTACCGTGGAATGGAAAGCAGAATGGAGAGCAAAAAGCAGTCTCTAGTCTCCTCGGCATTTCGACAACGACATCGACGGGGGAAACGCTTGATTCGATCGAACCAACCGAAGCTTTGAATGTTTGAATCAACGAACCTCTGTGGGCTGCTCGCGACTGCGAAGGGTCAAGCGACCTGTGAGTCTTTGCGAAACAGTTACCCTAATTGTTATACAAACTCATTTCGCCATTTTGCCCACGGTATTTGGATTTGGGCTAAAGATTTTTCAAACACTCCGCAAGCCAATTCGCAACATATACTGCACATATCTCCTCCTGGCCTCCTCATGTTTGTCTAGCAGTTCTCGCCGTACCACCGTGCCCAACCCACCCTTCCAGCACCATCCTCTCGCCTCCCCGCCGATCGCGCTATGTCGTCGTCGGCGGTCGACGCGGCATGCAGCGCCTCAAGGCCGCCACCGCACCCGCAGCCATGGCGGCAAGCCGGCGCTCCGCAACCCCCGCCGCCGCCGCCGCTCCCGCAGTGCCGCGCGGGGAGGAAGGCGGAAGCGCAACAGCCGCCGATCTAAACGCCGATGAGCCAGGCGCGGCGGATATTGCGGCGCCAGCAGCGGCGGGGAATCCGGGCGAGGCGGTGAAGGTGCGGGAGGCGCGCGTGGATCTGATCCTCACGCAGCGCCTGCGACAGTGCGGGGGCGCGCAGCAAACGAGTAGCGGCAGCGCGGAGAAGAAAGCCGTCCCGGTGAGCGGAGGCGCAGGGCTCAGTAGAGGGGACTCGTTGGATTCCAGTGGTGTTTTCTCGCAGCTGTAAGGGAGCCGCAGGCGCAGGGCACTACAGTGCTGCTTGTCACCCACCCACCCCAGCAAGTCCCCCCCCCTCCCCCCCACTCCCCCCCCTTCCCCCCCCTTCCCCTCCCCCCTTCCCCGCCTCCCTCCCTGTCCGTCGTATCCTCCCGTGTCAGTCGTGGGTGTTCGATCTGGGCCTGAAGGCCCGACCAACCGTTTCCCTGGCAGCTCCTGCGGGTGGCGCTGACGTGAGGGGGAGGGGGGCAAGAGGAGGGGAGAGGAGGGGGGAGTAGGGGCGGATGGAGCCGTACCTGCTGGGGCGAGGGGTGGGGAGGAGCGGGAGGGGGGAAGGTGGAGGTGGAAGGGGAGGAGGAGGGCAGGGGAAGGGAAGAGGGGAATGCGGCGAGGGAGCTTGCTGACGTGGCAAGAGGGGAGGCTGCCGCCGCAGCAGCAGCAACAGCAGGCGTGGAACGAGCGGCGGCAGCAGCAGCAGCACTGAGAGCCACGCAGGCAGCAGCGAGTGGTGCTGTTGGGGATGAGACCAAGGTCAAAGTAAGTCAACGCTTTTCCAGTCAACTCAAACGGAAAAATGTGGATAGCATACCAGTGAAGCTGAGTTGATGGCATGAAGACAACCATTGCGCATCAGGTGGCCTCGTTACCCAGCGCATTAGACTGCTCGTGGGTGACTTTTGAGTCAGCAGCAATGCACGAGCAGTCTAATGCGCTGGGGTACCGTGGGTGACTCAAAAGTCATGGGATGGGTCCCTTGTTTGAACAACTGCTCGCATCAGACTGCTCGTGCCTTGCTGCCATGGGATGGGTCCCTTGTTTGAACAACTTCCTGCTAGCAACGCCCCCCGTGAATCAGTTCTACCTCCTCTCCACCACTCTCTCTCTCACTCTTACCGTGCGCTGCAGGTGCGAGAAGTGGTGGACTTTGCAGGCGAGGCAGTGGACGTGTAACGACTGCCTTGAGGCGATGGACTCAACCCAAAGCCCTGCCACTCTGTGCTCCACGCCCCTCCCTCCCTCTTTGCGCTCTCTGGCATCTGCGTGCCCCAGGTGCGAGAGGTGGTGGACTTTGCAGGCGAGGCAGTGGAGGTGGTGCGGGTGCTGGACCCAAGGTCCAAGGAGGGCTGCAGCTGCCAAGCGCAAAGCAGACATGCAGGTGGGAGGGAGACATGCAGGTGGGAGGGAGGCATGCAGGTGGGAGGGAGGCATGCAGGTGGGAGGGAGGCATGCAGGTGGGAGGGAGGCATGCAGGTGAGAGGGAGACATGCAGGTGAGAGGGAGACATGCAGGTGGGTGATGAAGAGTAAAAGTCCATCGTCCGTGCGATGAGCGCGTGTATATCCTAAGCTGCTGCATTGTGCCCAACTCTACATCCTTCCCTCCTCTAGCCATCTGCTCTCCCCTCCCCTCTCTCTTTCTGCCAGCGCCCACGTCCAAGGGTCTGAATGCCACCCTTGGACGCGACGTCCAAGAGTCTGAATGCCACCCTTGGACGCGACGTCCAGGAGTCTGAATGCCACCTTGGACGCGACGTCCAGGAGTCTGAATGCCACCCTTGGACGCGACGTCCAGGAGTCTGAATGCCACCCTTGGACGCGACGTCCAGGAGTCTGAATGCCACCCTTGGACGCGACGTCCAAGAGTCTGAATGCCACCCTTGGACGCGACGTCCAGGAGTCTGAATGCTGTGCCCCCCTCTCCCTCCCCACCCTCTTCTCTCCCCGTCTCTCCCTTTCTTCCCCAGGCGTCCACCTCCAAGGGGCTGGACGCCATTCTGGCGCAGATGGAGAAGAAGAAGAAACTCAACATCCTGGACAAGTCCAGACAGGTGCGCGCGCGATGGGTGGAGAAGGGGGGGGGGAGGGGAACAAAAAAAAGGGGGGGGGGGGAGTGTAAGAAGAAGGGGGGAGGGGAAGAGCTCAGTATCGTGGACAAGTCCCAGCGAGAGAGAGATGAGGGAGGGGAAGAGAGGCGAGTGGGGAGTAGGGAGTGAGATGTGCTGGGCGCAGGTGGGTTGTGCTGGGCGCAGGTGGGTGTGCTGGGCGCAGGTGGGTTGTGCTGGGCGCAGGTGGGTTGTGCTGGGCGCTGGTGGGATGTGCTGGGCGCAGGTGGGTTGTGCTGGGCGCAGGTGGGTTGTGCTGGGCGCAGGTGGGTTGTGCTGGGCGCAGGTGGGTTGTGCTGGGCGCTGGTGGGATGTGCTGGGCGCAGGTGGGTTGTGCTGGGCGCAGGTGGGTTGTGCTGGGCGCAGGTGGGTTGTGCTGGGCGCAGGTGGGGATGTGCTGGGCGCAGGTGGGATGTGCTGGGCGCAGGTGGGATGTGCTGGGCGCAGGTGGGATGTGCTGGGCGCAGGTGGGTTGTGCTGGGCGCAGGTGGGTTGTGCTGGGCGCAGGTGGGTTGTGCTGGGCGCAGGTGGGTTGTGCTGGGCGCAGGTGGGATGTGCTGGGCGCAGGTGGGATGTGCTGGGCGCAGGTGGGATGTGCTGGGCGCAGGTGGGATGTGCTGGGCGCAGGTGGGATGTGCTGGGCGCAGGTGGGTTGTGCTGGCGCAGGGGGTTGTGCTGGGCGCAGGTGGGTTGTGCTGGGCGCAGGTGGGTTGTGCTGGGCGCAGGTGGGTTGTGCTGGGCGCAGGTGGGATGTGCTGGGCGCAGGTGGGATGTGCTGGGCGCAGGTGGGATGTGCTGGGCGCAGGTGGGATGTGCTGGGCGCAGGTGGGTTGTGCTGGGCGCAGGTGGGTTGTGCTGGGCGCAGGTGGGTTGTGCTGGGCGCAGGTGGGTTGTGCTGGGCGCAGGTGGGTTGTGCTGGGCGCAGGTGGGTTGTGCTGGGCGCAGGTGGGTTGTGCTGGGCGCAGGTGGGTTGTGCTGGGCGCTGGTGGGATGTGCTGGGCGCAGGTGGGTTGTGCTGGGCGCAGGTGGGTTGTGCTGGGCGCAGGTGGGTTGTGCTGGGCGCAGGTGGGTTGTGCTGGGCGCTGGTGGGATGTGCTGGGCGCAGGTGGGTTGTGCTGGGCGCAGGTGGGTTGTGCTGGGCGCAGGTGGGTTGTGCTGGGCGCAGGTGGGTTGTGCTGGGCGCTGGTGGGATGTGCTGGGCGCAGGTGGGTTGTGCTGGGCGCAGGTGGGTTGTGCTGGGCGCAGGTGGGTTGTGCTGGGCGCAGGTGGGATGTGCTGGGCGCAGGTGGGATGTGCTGGGCGCAGGTGGGATGCTGGCGCAGGTGGGATGTGCTGGGCGCAGGTGGGTGTGCTGGGCGCAGGTGGGTTGTGCTGGGCGCAGGTGGGTTGTGCTGGGCGCAGGTGTGGTTGTGCTGGGCGCAGGTGGGATGTGCTGGGCGCAGGTGGGATGTGCTGGGCGCAGGTGGGATGTGCTGGGCGCAGGTGGGATGTGCTGGGCGCAGGTGGGATGTGCTGGGCGCAGGTGGGTTGTGCTGGGCGCAGGTGGGTTGTGCTGGGCGCAGGTGGGTTGTGCTGGGCGCAGGTGGGTTGTGCTGGGCGCAGGTGGGATGTGCTGGGCGCAGGTGGGATGTGCTGGGCGCAGGTGGGATGTGCTGGGCGCAGGTGGGATGTGCTGGGCGCAGGTGGGATGTGCTGGCGCAGGTGGGTTGTGCTGGGCGCAGGTGGGGTTGTGCTGGGCGCAGGTGGGTTGTGCTGGGCGCAGGTGGGTTGTGCTGGCGCAGGTGGGATGTGCTGGGCGCAGGTGGGATGTTCTGGGCGCAGGTGGGGATGTGCTGGGCGCAGGTGGGTTGTGCTGGCGCAGGTGGGATGTTGCTGGGCGCAGGTGGGGTTTTGGGCGCAGGTGGGATGTGCTGGGCGCAGGTGGGTTGTGCTGGGCGCAGGTGGGTTGTGCTGGGCGCAGGTGGGTTGTGCTGGGCGCAGGTGGGTTGTGCTGGGCGCAGGTGGGTTGTGCTGGGCGCAGGTGGGTTGTGCTGGGCGCAGGTGGGATGTGCTGGGCGCAGGTGGGATGTGCTGGGCGCAGGTGGGATGTGCTGGGCGCAGGTGGGATGTTCTGGGCGCAGGTGGGATGTGCTGGGCGCAGGTGGGTTGTGCTGGGCGCAGGTGGGTTGTGCTGGGCGCAGGTGGGTTGTGCTGGGCGCAGGTGGGTTGTGCTGGGCGCAGGTGGGTTGTTGCTGGGCGCAGGTGGGTTGTGCTGGGCGCAGGTGGGTTGTGCTGGGCGCAGGTGGGTTGTGCTGGGCGCAGTGGGTTGTGCTGGGCGCAGGTGGGTTGTGCTGGGCGCAGGTGGGTTGTGCTGGCGCCAGGTGGGTTGTGCTGGGCGCAGGTGGGATGTGCTGGGCGCAGGTGGGATGTGCTGGGCGCAGGTGGGATGTGCTGGGCGCAGGTGGGATGTTCTGGGCGCAGTGGGATGTGCTGGGCGCAGGTGGGTTGTCTGGGCGCAGGTGGGATGTGCTGGGCGCAGGTGGGTTTGCTGGGCGCAGGTGGGTTGTGCTGGGCGCAGGTGGGTTGTGCTGGGCGCAGGTGGGTTGTGCTGGGCGCAGGTGGGGTGCTGGGCGCAGGTGGGTTGTGCTGGGCGCAGGTGGGTTGTGCGGGCGCAGGTGGGTTGTGCTGGGCGCAGGTGGGTTGTGCTGGGCGCAGGTGGGTTGTGCTGGGCGCAGGTGGGTTGTGCTGGGCGCAGGTGGGTTGTGCTGGGCGCAGGTGGGTTGTGCTGGGCGCAGGTGGGTTGTGCTGGGCGCAGGTGGGTAAGGAGGGCGTGGGCGTGGCAGGGGACAGGCGCGTCATAACGGGGACTGCCGACCCCCCTCACTGCCGACCCCCCTCACTGCTCCCTCTCTCTCTGCGCACCCCCCCTGTTCTCCCCTCCTCACCCTTCTCTCCCATCCATCAGGATTGGAGTGAGTTCGAGTGGGGCACAGGCGTGGCAGGGGTGCAGAGGAGTATCGCAGCGTTGCTTTCCCCCCTCTCACGGCTACTCCCCATCAGTGCACCCCGGCCCCCCTTCTCTCCCCCTGTCTATCAGGATTGGAGCGAGCACAAGGAGGGTATGGGCGTGGCGGTGGAGCTGGAGGAGTGTCGCAGGAGCGTTAACTTCTTCCCCTCTCACTGCAGCCCCCCTGCTGCCTACCATCCCGCCCTCCTCTTCTCTCCCCCCCCATCAGGATTGGAGCGAGTACAAGGAGGGCACGGGCGTGGCGGTGGAGCTGGAGGAGTACCGCAGGAGCGGCGCCACCTATACAGAGAAAAAGGCTTTTCTGGGGCAGGCTGACCTGCGGGAGTACGAGCGCGAGAGAGACGCCAAGCTGGCTGCGCTCGCCAGGAGGCCCAGGCCCACTGCAGGGGATTGAGTTCATTAGCGGCGCCACCTACCTACACAGTTGAGAGGGCTTTTTTGGGGTACGCTGACCTGCGGAAGAGACGCCAAGCTGGCTACGCTTGCCAGGGGACCTCTGGCCACGGCCACAGCTGGTGGTTGATGGCTGTGAGTGCCAGGATGGAGGAGAAGGGCGTTTTTGGGCAGTGGAGAGAGAGAGAGAGAGATGCCAAGCTGGCTGCACATGCCAGGAGACCATGGCCGGAATGTCAAACATGTGTATTAGTTATGTTTGCATAGACTGTATAGGGTCACCTCTTAGAGGGTACAATACTTAGGTATATCTATCTGTACTCTCCCACTACTCATCATTCACTTCTCTCATTCTGATGTGGTATCACGCGTAGGTTAGGATCCCCCACCTACCGCTTCCGCTCGTCCTCTAGCTAGGCCCTGCCGCGCCCCTCCTGGGCCCCGCCGCGACCCCCTAGCCCCGTCGCGACCCCCCTGGGCCCCGTCGTGCCCCTAGCCCTGCCGCGCCCCTCCTGGGCCCCGTCGCGACCACCTAGCCCCGTCGCGACCCCCTAGCCCCGTCGCGACCCCCCTGGGCCCCGTCGTGCCCCTAGCCCTGCCGCGCCCCTCCTGGGCCCCGTCGCGACCCCCTAGCCCCGTCGCGACCCCCCTGGGCCCCGTCGTGCCCCTAGCCCTGCCGCGCCCCTCCTGGGCCCCGTCGTGACCCCCCTAGCCCCGTCGCGACCCTCCAGGGCCCCGCTACGCCCCTCGCCCTGTAGCGCCCCTCCTGGGCCCGTAGCAAACCCTCCTGGGCCCCGCCACGCCTGCAGGCCCCGTTGCCCCCCTGCCCGGCCCCGTCGCGCCCCGCCCGGCCCCGTCGCACCTGACCGGCCCCGTCGCACCCGCCCGGCCCCGTCGCACCCTGCCCGGCCCCGTCGCCGCCGCCCGGCCCCGTCGCACCCGTCCGGCCCGTCGCGCCCGCCCGGCCCCGTCGCACCCGCCTGGCCCCGTCGCACCCGCCCGGCCCCGTCGCACCAGCCTGGCCCCGTCGCACCTGCCCGGCCCCGTCGCACCCGCCCGGCCCCGTCGCACCCTGCCCGGCCCAGTCGCCGCCGCCCGGCCCCGTCGCACTCGTCCGGCCCCGTCGCGCCCGCCCGGCCCCGTCGCACCGGCCCGGAGCCGTCGCACCCGCCCGGCCCCGTAGCACCCGCCCGGCCCCGTTGCGCCCGCCCGGCCCCGTCGCCCTCGCCCGGCCCTGTCGCACCGGCCCGGCCCCGTCGCACCCGCCCGGCCCCGTTGCGCCCTGCCCGGCCCCGTCGCACCTGCCCGGCCCCGTCGCACCCGCCCGGCCCCGTCGCACCTGCCCGGTCCCGTCGCGCCGGCCCAGCCCCGTCGCACCCGCCCGGCCCCGTTGCACCGGCCCAGCCCCGTCGCACCTGCCCGGCCCCGTTGCGCCCTGCCCGGCCCCGCCGCGTTTGCCGGGCCCCGCTGCACCGGCCCAGCCCCTGCGCTCATCCCTGCCCCGGCCCCTTCATCCTCACTGGTACGGTTCTCCTCCCCCCCCCCCTCCCTGCACCGTCCTGCTCCGCACTGCACTGCCCTGCACCGCACTGCACCGCCCTGCACCGCCCCGCACCGCACTGCACTGCCCTGCCCCGCACTGCACCGCCCTGCACTGCTCTGCTTTGCACTGCACCTCACGGCACCGTACTGTCCCATCCTGCACTGCCCCTGATGGCGGCGGAGCTTCGCTTCGACGCTGAAGGCCAGCCTCTGGAGTTCGAGGCGTTGCTTGCCGACCTCCGGCGCCAACTCACTGGCCAGCGGCAGGATGGTGAACCGCTTTCCGCACACCTTGACGGTACGCTCCCCTGCCCAGACCCCCCTGCTATTCTGCCCGCTGACTCCACACCCACTGAGCGCGAGTCTACTGCTGCCACTGCCCGTGCACGCTCTGTCTGGCTTTCTCGCGATGCTGTCGCCCAGCTTGCCATTAGCAACGCCCTTCCCCCGTCCGAGCGCCCTCGCTTTAGGTCCCTCACTACTGCTCAGGCATACTTAGATGCTGTCATCAAGCGCTATTCCACCCCTCCGGCTGCCTCGGTGGGTCGCCTGATCCTCCCGATGCTCTTTCCTGACCTTGCATCTTTCCCCACTGTCTCTGACCTCGCTGCCCACCTGCGCTCGATAGATGAGACCTGGCGCGCTGCCTGCACTGACGCACAGCTTAGAGCCCACCAGCCGCCCATTACCTCTACCCTTTACCTGCTTGCCACCCGCCTCCCTGACCACCTTGCTGTCGCCCGCGACCACTTCCTTAGCATTCACCCCGCAGACCTCACCCTCAATGACTTTGTAGACACCCTGACTGTGATTGAGACCCGCCACCGCTCCATCGCCCAGGCGAGTGGTACTGTGCCGATCCCTATCTTTCAGGGTTGTGCCCCTGCTCAGTGTACCTTCTCCGACGGCTCTGCCGCAGTGGCTGAGACCGCTGCTGCAGCGCAGTTTCGTTCGGGGAAGGGCCGCCGCCCCAAAGTTGGGCGCGGCGGAGGAGGCGGGGGTGCGGGAGGGGGTGGTGGTGGAGTCGGGTCGTCTGGTGCTAAAGCGAACGAGGGGACCCTGCCCAGTCCAGCTGAGCCGCCGCCCCTGCAGTTGCAGCAGCCGCAGCAGCCGCCGCAGTCGCAGCCTTCGCAGCAGCCGTCGCAGACGCGGCAGACGAGTGTCCTCCCGCCCGGGTGGCCCGGCGCTGGCGGTGGTCGGGCGCGTGATGGTGTGCCGAGTGGTGGTTCTGGAGGCGTGCGTTGTCAGTACCAGATCCAGACCGGTCCTCGCCGCGGCTTCGTTTGCGGTAAGATCGGTCACTCCACTCCCCGCCTGGACGACCTCTTTCGTCAGCGCTTCGGCCCGTCGCCAGACCTTCCGGACTGGCACAGTTTGCTTAGTCGTAAGATTCAGATTTTTGACATGGACATGGATGCCATTGTTTCTGCTCTGCATGTGATGTATGCTGATGACTCTAGTGTGCTTCCCGCTTATTACTCACTGTCGGCTAGTGTAGGTGTGCCTAGCTTAGCCTCCCCTGCTGCGTCAGGCGTAGGATCCCCTGCTTTGTGTAGTCTTGGTGCTTCCGCCGTCGTTCCGTCGCCAGACGCCTCTGCTTCGCTTTCCTTCACCCTGGACTCTGGCGCTTCCCGGTGTTTCTTCCGCGACTTCACCACCCTGACGCCGCTTCCTGTTCCTGCTGTCGTTTCTCTTGCTGACCCCTCCGGCGGTCCGGTAGTCGCCCGCAGTTCCACCACCCTTCCCTGTTCGGCGGTTCCTTCGGGCACTCTCACAGGTCTGCATATCCCCTCGTTCTCCAGGAACTTAGTTGGTGTCGGCTGCCTCCAGGACCTTGGCGTCACCACTACGTTCCCTGGTCACGAGCGGTATGCTGTCTGTACCGAGGCCGCCACTGGTGCCCCCCTGTCCACGTTCCCCCGGGACCCGGTGTCCGGCCTGTTCACTCTGGACACCGTGACCCCCCTGGCTGGAGCGCTCACCCAGGTTGCTGCTGCCTGCTCCTGTCGGTCCCTCACTCACCCGACTCTCCTTTGGCACCACCGCCTAGGTCACCCTGCGCTCCCACGTCTGCGTCACATGTCCCAGCACGGTCTTGTCCTTGGTCTCCCAGGTTCTCTCCCCGCGTTTCCCTCCTCCCCAGCCCCACCTTGCACGCCTTGTGTCAAGGGTCGGCTTCGCCGTGCCCCTCACTCCTCCTCGTTTCCCCCTACCGCCGCGCCGCTCAAGACCCTGCACCTGGACGTCTGGGGCCCCGCCCCCGTCCCTGGGCCGCGTCGAGAGCGCTACTTCCTTGTGCTTGTCGACGACTTCACTCGTTACACCACAGTCTTTCCCCTAGAGCGCAAGGCCGACGTGCCTGGCGCTCTCATCCCCTGACTTGTCTCTGCGCGTGTCCACCGCGGTCTCCCTGTCTTGCGTCTTCACTCCGACCGTGGTGGCGAGTTTGCCTCAGGTGTCCTTGGTCGCTTTTGTCGTGCGGAAGGCATCACCCAGACGTGTACCCTACCGGACTCCCCACAGCAGAATGGGGTCGCTGAGCGACGCATCGGTTTGGTCATGGAGGTGGCTCGCACCTCCATGATCCATGCCGGTGCACCCCATTTTCTGTGGCCGTTCGCTGTGCGCTACGCTTCTCAACAGCTTAATTTGTGGCCGCACCCTCAGCAGCCGCAGGTTTCGCCGACCCGTCTTTGCACTGGGTCTCCTGGTGACGCGTCTGCATTCCACGTCTGGGGCTGCCTTGCTCACGTCCGTGCCTCCGGCACGGACAAGCTCACTGCCCGCACCCTTCCCTGCGTCTTCCTCGGTTTTCCCCTTGACGCGTCCGACTGGACTTTTACCACCCGCCGTCTCACCGCTTCTTTCACTCTCGCGACGTCACATTTGACGAGTCCGTCTCCTACTACCGTCGCTTCCCCCTCGGCGGTCCCCCGGTTACCCCCCCCCTGTTCCTGGTCACTCCTTCCCCGGTAGTCCCTGCCCCTCCTCCTCCTCCTCCCCGTCCTGCCCCCTCTGGTGTGTCCCACGCCACCCCCCTTCCGTCGATAGACCCGGTTGAGGAGTCCTCTGACTCTGGTGGCCCTGCTGCGCTGCTGCGCAGTCCTCGCCGGCCGCCCCTCCCCCGGCGTCCCCTCCCCAGTCCCCTCCTCCACCGCCTCTGCCGCCGCTGCAGCCATCGTTGTCGCTGCCGCCGCCGCCGCCGCCGCCGTCCCAGCACCCGTTCGCTGACTCTGGCGGTGCTCGTCCCGGTCGCCCTGGGGGTGGTCCCTTTGGGGGTGCTGGTGTGGAGTGTGTCGGTGGTAGCCAAGGAGCAGCTTGCGGTCCAGGTGTCGTCGTTGTGCCGCCGCAGCAGCAGTCCCCGCCGGTGTCAGCCCTTTGCCTGCTCGGCCTTCCGTCCCCTGACCCTGCGGCTGTTCCTCTTCGACCGTCTCCTCCTCTTCCCGTCTACGGGCCTGTGTTCCCTCCGCCGGACTCGTCCCCGGCCCGTCTTCCCCCTCGTTCCCCTCCTGTCTCCCCTCCCCTGTCTCCTGACCCGACTCCTCCGTCGCACGTCTGGTCTCACCGTCCCTCCCGTGCTCGTCCTGCCTCGCCTGTCTTGCGCTCCCACCCTATGTTGCTTCGTTCCCACGCGTCTCGTCCTCCCCTCCTACCGTCGCCTCCTCCGTCCTCCCTTGTTGTTGCACCCCCCCCGCTGTCTGACTACCTTCGTGCCGCTCGTCCTCTTGTTCCCCGGGTCCTTGCCTCTCTCGTTACCGACCTGTCTGTTCCGGTCTCGTGCCTTGACGCTCTTGTAGCTGCGGTCGCTGACTTCGCCTCTACCTGCCGCCTTGACTACGCCACAGCTCTGGTCTCTGACCCTGCCTGTCCTCCGTCTGTCGGGGGTGCTCCTGCCCTTGGCAGTGACGTCCTGGAGGACCGCCAGTTCGAGCTTGCTTTCCTCTCCGAGGCTGCTCCCCATCTCTGTTCCATGCTGCTAGTCCCTGAGGGTGACCCAGACGCTTTCGACATCCCGACCCCTCGCACTTACGCTGAGGCGACCTCGGGACCTTGGGCCTCGCAGTGGATAGCTGTCATGGATCAGGAGATGGCATCTTGGAGATCCACCGGCACCTTTGTCGACGCAGTTCCCCCGCCTGGGGTGAACGTAGTCGATGGCCGCTGGCTCTTCAAGGTGAAGCGCCCTCCTGGAGAGCCGCCTGTGTTCAAGGCGCGCTACGTGGCTAGAGGCTTCAGTCAGCGTGAGGGGATTGACTTCTTCCAGACCTTCGCTCCGACCCCGAAGTTGACTACTCTTCGGGTTCAGCTACACCTAGCTGCTCAGCGCGACTACGAGCTTCACTCCCTCGACTTCTCCACTGCCTTCCTTCAGGGCAGCCTACACGAGCAGGTCTACTTGCGTCGCCCTCAGGGCTTTACTGGCACCTTCCCTCCTGGGACCCAGTGGCTCCTGCGGCGCCCCGTCTACGGCCTGCGCCAGGCTCCCCGTGAGTGGCACGACACTCTCCGTGCTACGCTTGCTGACCTGCAGTTCTTTCCGTCTTCCGCAGACCCCTCACTCTTCGTTCGTGCTGGCCAGACTCCGTTCTACATCCTTGTTTACGTTGACGACCTGGTCTTTGCCACAGCAGACAGGGACGCACTGGCCTCCGTGAAGGCAGAGCTGCTGAAGAGACACACCTGCACTGACCTTGGAGAACTGCGCCGTTACCTTGGCTTGCAGATCTCCAGGGACAGAGCAGCGCGCACCATCACCCTGACTCAGTCACACTTGGTGCGCCAGGTCCTTCAGAGGTTCAGCCTTCAGTTCTCCTCCGCACAGCCCACCCCTCTGCCTGTAGACCACAGACTCTCCGCTCCAGTGTCTGAGGAGTCGGTTGAGCCCAGCAGCCCCTACGCAGAGCTGGTGGGTTGCCTCATGTACCTGATGACTTGCACTCGCCCAGATCTCGCATACCCTCTCAGCATCCTGGCTCGCTTTGTGGCCACATGCAGACACCGACCGCAGCACTGGTCTGCCGCTAAGAGGGTTTTGCGTTATCTTGCTAGTACATCGGGCATGGGGTTAGTGCTAGGAGGACGCAGGCCAGTGGTCCTTACTGGACACACCGACGCTTCGTGGGCAGACGACGCCGTGACACTCAGGTCTACCCAGGGCTACTGCTTCAGCCTTGGCTCAGGTGCCGTCTCGTGGAGACCTACCCGCTCCTCGTCTGTTGCCCAGTCCAGCTGTGAGGCCGAGATCTACGCTGGTGCCATGGCGGCACAGGAGCTCCGCTGGCTGACCTTCTTGCTCACTGACTTAGGTGAGCGGCCTAGCTCTGCCCCGGTCCTGTTTGCTGACAACAGGGCCATGATCCTCCTGTGTCAGGAGCCTCGACTCGAGGGCAGAGCGAAGCATATTCAGCTGCGATACTTCCTCCTGCACGAGCTACAGCAGCGACGCCAGGCTCGCGTAGTACACTTGGCCTCAGGTGCCAACACAGCTGATATCTTTACGAAGGCGCTTGCGCCTAAAGATCAACAGCGGCACTGCGTACAGCTTGGTCTAGTCCTTATAGCCTCTCACTTGCTAGGGCCTTGACTTTGTACTGCCCTTTTATATGTATACTCAGACTGGACTTGTGTCCTCTACCAGTGGCTGGACTAGTAGTGCCGCCCTGATCTTGTTCTTGCCTTGTCTGTACTCCTTCTGACTGGTCTTTTAGACCCTTGTCTCAGAGGTTGGACTAGTAGTGCCGCCCTGAGCTGCTTGTTCAGGACATTCCCCTATGCAGTCTAGGGGGTGTGTCAAACATGTGTATTGGTTATGTTTGCATAGACTGTATAGGGTCACCTCTTAGAGGGTACAATATTTAGGTATATCTATCTGTACTCTCCCACTACTCATCATTCACTTCTCTCATTCTGATACGGAAGGCTGAATTGCGTTGGGGTGTTTGGGCTGAGGATGAGGCACGCTGGTGTTCCATGCTAGGCTGGAGCCCCTGTATTTTTGAGAAAAATCAAAGCATTTTCTTTTCCGTGAATACATCTCATATGCCTTTAGGAGATTTTAGGCAGGCTGACAAGCCTGGGGCCTAAGGAATCAAGGTTGTATGCCGTCGTGGTACAAGGGGCAGTGGTGTGATACCCTGTGGTGTGACGTGACTTGTGAGGGAGGGAGGGCCATTTATTGGAGGCATCGATCTGGTGCCTCCGTCACCACTCCTGGGTGCCCTCCCCAAGCCCCTACCCTCTTTATTTGCACACTCCAAACCAAACTCTCATCTTATCAGAGAGAATACTCCCCGCTTGTTGCCTCCTGTCTGTTACTTCACCCCTGCACTGCACCCCTCCACCTCCCCGCTCGGGTCACCACAGCTACGCTGCCATGCCGACCTTCACCGCCCCGCGTTTCTCCTTCCCAAAGAGCCCCTCGCGCCGCTTGGCTCAGCGATTAGCACAGCAGCCGACGATGTAGACGACGAGCAGCAGCAGCAGCAGCAGCAGCAGCAGCAGCAGCAGGGACACACCCGGCACACGATGAGCTTGGACGCTCCTCAACAGCCACCGGAGCCACGCTGACGGCTCTCACCGCCCCGTGATACACCTTCCAGAAGTGACATTTGAGTCGACTCACACCTCGTCGCGTCACGCCTTCCTGGAGTGCCTTCATCGTCGTGTTACACCTTCCCGAAGAAGCCTTCTCGGCGCTTGGCGCTGCGGTAGGCGCAGCAGCCGAAGATGTAGACGACGAGCAGCAGCAGCGAGACGCCCAGGCACACGAACGCCACCATGCGCCACTGGTCGCGCAGCGTCTTCAGGAACCCCGCCTTGCACGTGTCGCACTCGTAGCACAGCCTGCTCACCTCGCTGCCGTACAGCAGGCAGTCGCCGGTGGAATTGCCGGCCAAATTAGACAGACCCGTGGAGTTGACTGCGGAAGCGAGAGCTGCGGCGGCTGCGTCAGCAGAGGCATTGGCGGGGAGGGCCACGCGGGAGGTGGCGGAGAGGGGCGCGGATGGGCAGGACTGGGGGGGGTAGCAGCAGCCAGCCTGCGGGAGAAGAGGGGGGAGGGGGGGAGAGGGGAGGAAGACGACTGTTGGAGGAAACGGTAAGTCTTATAATGAACCGATGGAGGCACCGGAGCCTGGATTACTGATCTCATTGCGAGCCAGGTGGTCGCACCTGAATGGCGGAGAGCGTGGACGACGCAAACGTGATGTTCTGGTTGAGCACGGCGCACGTGTTGCCCGCGGCGAGGCACGCCTGGATGGGTGCCCACTTGGCCTGCTCCGTGACCAGCGTCTGCAGCCACGAGGAGAAGTCCGTCGTCCGCCACGACCCGATCGCCTTGTTCGATACCGCGTCCGCCGCGCTCTGATTCGTCACCACGAATGAGAAGGCTGCCACGTGACAACGAATTGAGCAGGAGAGGAGACGGCAGGATGTGGCACATGTGAATGGATGCTTTTCTGAATGGACCATGTTCAAAGCGAGAGCTCTTGAAGTTGGTTTCTAATGAGTGAATAGCGAGGGTGGGTAGGGAAGCACGGGAGTTCCTACCGGTGACTCCGAGGAGCACCCATATAGCGAGGAAAACTACAGCGAGGTAGATGAAAAGTAGCCACGTGATGTCGTTGACGGCGCCGATGAATCCGGCGAGAGCCACGACGCACAGGACGCCGCCCACCACGAGTAGCGGCATGCGCAGGAACTGCACGCACTCTGTGGCACCCGCTCTGCGCGTGGGCGGGAGGAGACATGGTAACGATTTGACATTTCAATCCGAGTCGAGTCGGCAGGAACTGCACGCACTCCGTCGCGCCCGCTCTGCGGGTGGGCGGGAGGACATCATGGTAACCAGGTGACTTCTGAATCGACGCCGAATCAGAGATCGGCGGGATGCGCAGGAAAGCTGCGAATCACCGCTCCTTGCGGGAACTGCGCGCATGACTAGCGGTCATCCATCATCACCATTTCGAATTGCGAGTAAGCTGTATCAAAGCTGCAAGGAATAGGACCATGAAACGTTTTATGCACCTATTGCGCGTCATCCATAACCACCCGACGCTTATCTATGACCACTGTCCGATAAGCATCTGCGAGCAATGGAGCACGCATGATTACTTGAATGTCATCCATAGCCCCGTTCCGATGAGCACTAGCGACAGCAGCACGACCAGCGCCGTCGATATCGCCGTCAGCGTCTTCGCGACACCCATGAAGCTTGATTCGGGTCGGAGACGACAGGAATGGCGCACAAGCGAATTGAAAGTGACAATACGTGCGATGGCTGCTGCCTGACTGAGGAGGATTATGACTTCGAGGTTGGCTGACAGGAGCAGGCAAGGAGGGTCTAAAATGCAGGAGGGCGCCGGATTTCTCTTTCTGAAATAAGAATCACACTACTGGACGTGAGAGCTCGTTATCGTTACTGTAAATACTAGATACCCGAGGAAAGGAGCTCAGGGACTAGCAGGGCGGAGCATTCCCAGTGCCACTGCTGCAATGCATTCAAGGCCCTGATGGAATCTTGATTTGCATGCGCTGCGAGAAACATTGGTGGTTGCGCGAGATTCATTCGAGGGGGCGCGCAATTATTGGAGGTTCAGTAGCTTGGAGTTGTAGAGTTGTAATTGGGAGGAGTGCTCGAGATTCAAGCGAGGTCATTCTGCTCCCAGGCGATGAGTTTGCGACAACTGTTGCGACTTGGTGCGCGACGACCGCTGTTGACTCTCGCCTGCTGAAGTGTGAGAGTGAAGGGGTTACAGCAATAATCGCGAAGCTCCAGACTTCGACTGGGCGAAGAATTGCGCATGAGATGCACTTTACCGTGCGCTTTCCCTTATAATGTAAGGAGAGCATCCCTTATGAGAGCTCTCTAGGAGCAGATCTCTCAAATATCCCACCCTAAAACACACCCATCCACTAGTCGCATTAATCTACTATGCCATTGCATGTTGGTGCTCTTATGGGGATGGTTCCGAGTCCTCTTAGTAGCAATATTTCAACACAAAAGTGGAAGCGTGGTACGTAGCTATGGATTCCTTTACAGAACAGTCTTCTCCAGGATTGCAATACAATTGGTTTCTACAGGAATTTTGAAACAGGCTGACGAGCCTCATAACCATTCCCTAGCACCCTAGGGAACATGCTGTGATCCAGGATACCCTGTGACCTCGGAAGGGAGGGCCATTTATTGGAGGCATTGAGACAGTGCCTCTAAGCTTGGTTGGGCGCCCTCCACTACCAGCTACACTCCTCCTCATTATTTGGACTGTCTAAAGTACTTCTCTCCATAAACCCCCCAGTTGGTGCCTCCTGCTCCTCCATCCCTCCTTTGCCCTCTACTGCTCCGCTACCAGATTCCACCTCCTCGTGTTACACCTTCCTGAGATGACTTCTGCTCGCGTCACACCTTCCTGGATTGAGTCGTGTTACACCTTCCCGAAGAAGCCTTCTCGGCGCTTGGCTCTGCGGTAGGCGCAGCAGCCAACGATGTAGACGACGAGCAGCAGCAGCGAGACGCCCAGGCACACGAACGCCACCATGCGCCACTGGTCGCGCAGCGTCTTCAGGAACCCCGCCTTGCACGCCTCGCACCCGTAGCACAGCCTGCTCGCCTCGCTGCCGTACAGCAGGCAGTCGCCGGTGGAATTGCCGGCCAAATTAGACAGATCCGTGGAGTTGACGGTGGAAGCGAGAGCTGCGGCGACTGCGTCAGCAGAGATGTTGGCGGGGAGGGCCGCGCGGGAGGTGGCGGAGAGAGATGCGGAGGGGCAGGACTGGGGGGGATAGCAGCAGCCAGCCTGAGGAGGGGGGCAGGGGTGGGAGGGGTGGGAGGGGTGGAAGGGGTGGGAGGGGTGGGAGGGGCGGAAAGGAATGAAAACGGAAGAGAATTGGGGCAGTGAGAGAGGTCGCTCTGCCGTTAGTAGCTTCCGAGACAAAAGAGCGACCATACATGAACCGACGAAGGCAAGCTGGACGCACCTGAATGGCGGAGAGCGTGGACGACGCGGACGTGTTGGTCTGGTTGAGCACGGCGCACGTGTTGCCCGCGGCGAGGCACGCCTGGATGGGCGCCCACTTGGCCTGCTCCGTGACCAGCGTCTGCAGCCACGAGGAGAAGTCCGTCGTCCGCCAGGACCCGATGCCCTTGTTCGATACCGCGTCCGCCACGCCCTGATTCGTCACCACAAACGCGAACACTGCCGCGCGACGATGGGTTAGGGATTCGGGGAGGGGCGGGGAGGGCGGGAGGGTGAGCGGAGAGCAGCACTTTGGAAACGTGTGCGAAACCAGAGCTCGAAAAGATTATCTTGAATAAGCGAAAAGTGAAAGGGGAGGGAAGAAAGTGCTGGATCGTAGTACCTGTGAATCCGAGGAGCACCCATATAGCGAGGAAGACTACAGCGAGGTAGATGAAGAGCAGCCACGCGATGTCGTTGACGGCGCCGATGAATCCGGCGAGAGCCACGGCGCACAACACGCTGCCCACCACAATGAGCGGGATGCGCAGGAACTGCACGCACTCCGTCGCGCCCGATCTGCAGGTGGACGAGAGGGAGAGACGCGATGAAATCCAGTAAGCTGCGAGATGGATTCTTCTCCGCGTATGCACCGATTAGCGGTCATCCAAAAACACCTGACGCTCGTTGTGTGATAAAGATCCTTAACTAGCAGCTGTAGTCCACGCATAATTACCTGGTTGTCATCCATATCCCCGTCCCGATGAGCACTAGCGACAACAGCACGACCAGCGCCGTCGAAATCGCCGTTAGCGTCTTCGCGACACCCATGGAGCTTGATTCAGGTCAACGACGACCAAGAGTATTCCACAATAAAAAATAAATTGGACGGACCAACCACGGCTGGAGCCTGACAGAGGAGGAACGAGATGCTGGAGGTCTTCCGACTGAAACGGAAAGGGAGGCTGAAGAAGCACCAGCGCACCAAATTAGTCACGCTCTAGCCCTCAAATCGCACGACTATGCTTGAGCGCCCGTTCTCATCACTGAAAGTACTCTCGCGAGGGAAGAAGCCCTGTGCAGGAGTTTCGGCGTGAAGGGTGGAGAGAGGAAGGCGGACGAAAGGCAGTGACGACACGGCAAGCAAGCACGGAAAGAGCGAGCTAATCACCTTCGAAGGGGATGAGATTAGCAGGGAGGTGTGTGCCTCATGGTCAGAAAGATGCATTCTAGGCCCGTTTTGAACCTTGATTTACACGCGCTGCGGGATGCATTCGTTCAGCCTTCAAGATTTGAGCGCAATTATTGGAGCTGGTCAGGGGTTGTAACAGGGTAGAGCTCTCGAGGCTCGACAGAGGTCGTCGTGCGACCAGGCGAAGATTTCGCGACGCCTGTCGGTGCGCGACGAAGACCTGGTTGGTTCACGCCTGTTGCCGTGCGAGAGACGGGGTTACAGCAATAATTGTGAAGTTGCAGGTGGTGTTGACTGGCTGAATTCTCGTGAACGAGGTGCATTGTACAATGCGTTGCAGATCTGGTAAGGTAATCTACATCAATGTTATATGAACACTTCTTGTGAAACCTTATACAAGAGCAAAACGAAGCATGATCGTCTGATTTACCATATGAGAAATCCCGTGTTATCTACTCCCAAACGCATTAAGCCCCGCCCAACAAACAACCAATCCACAAGTGACTAGTCGTACAGATCTATGTTAGTGCCTGCTTGTGCCTCCACATCTTCATCCTCGTGTTGATGTGCCACTGGTTCAGGTGCCATGGGTGGAGGTGCCCCCTGTGGAGGTGCCACTGGTCTTGGAGAGCTTTGCGGTCTCTCCTGGGAGCGTGGCGGCGTTTCCATGTACTCATCTGGACCCACACTCCTCCCGCCGCCCTCCGATCCCCAGGTCTCGCTTCGCACATGCCCTTCCCCTTGCTCAGGTGTCCTCCCTCCCCTTCCCCTACCCGCCCGCCCCCTCCCACGGCCCCTCCCTCTCCCTCTCCCCCCACCTCCCCGCGGCGTCCTTGCCTCCATGGGAGGCGGGTTGCTGCCACTCCAGGTCTTGTTTCTCGAAAGATCCGGTTCGTCCATCCCGTAATCACTGTCTCGGGGTGATGGCATTTCTCCGATCCTCCCGTACCCCTGATGCTGATTCATCGGGCGCCTGGGCCCCTGCCCCGACATGGGGCGGGTGAACTGCGACCCATCCCTGCCGCTTTGGTAAGTGTTGGCCCTCTGGAACTCCGGATCCCCGCCAGAGCTCTGGTAAGTATTCACCCGATTGAATTCCGGCCCGCCCTGGCTCTGGTATGTGTTAACGCGGTTAAACTGGGGCCCGCCTTGGCTCTGGTACGTGTTGACGCGGTTGAGGTGGGGCCCCTGAAAGCTGGCGGTGCGGCTCATGCTGATGCTGCTCCTGTCGTCCAGCAGCCGCCTCTTGTCATCATCCCTCTTGCCCCGGCCGCACTGCGTGCAGCACATGATAAACGCCACCACCAGCATGGTACTGGCCACGCCCACACTGAAGTACGCCTCGGTGAGGAAGTCGGACTTGAGCTGCTGTATCACGCCGCCCTTGCAGTACTCGCAGCTGTAGCACAGCTGGCTCGACTCCAGGCTGAACGCGCTGCAGTTGCGGGGGTCGCGCCCGGGAGCGGCGGCGGGGGGGTTTTCGGTGATGGGAGGGGCGTTGGTGGTGGGGAGGTCGAAGGCGAAGGAGAAGTAGGTGGGTAGCGAGGAGTTCACGAAGCAGTTCTCGGGGGGCAGGCAGCACCCCGCCTGGCGTTTTGGGGCGGAGGGAATGGGAGAATGAGGGAATGGGAGAATGAGGGAATGGAAGAAAGCAGCAGTTGGGGTTGAGGCATGCGTGCACAGCAAACATGGCGAAGAAGCGTTCCTTCAAGCTGCTGGTGCAATGTGCCCGCATGTGCTCCCCGCGCATGCGCATGTGCACCAGCAGCAGCAAGCATTCCTTCAAGCTGCTGGTGCAATGTGCACGCATGTGCTCCCCGCGCATGCGCATGTGCACCAGCAGGAGCAAGCATTCCTTCAAGCTGCTGGTGCAATGTGCACGCATGTGCTCCCCGCGCATGCGCATGTGCACCAGCAGCAGCAAGCATTCCTTCAAGCTGCTGGTGCAATGTGCCCGCATGTGCTCCCCGCGCATGCGCATGTGCACCAGCAGCAGCAAGCATTCCTTCAAGCTGCTGGTGCAATGTGCACGCATGTGCTCCCCGCGCATGCGCATGTGCACCAGCAGCAGCAAGCATTCCTTCAAGCTGCTGGTGCAATGTGCACGCATGTGCTCCCCGCGCATGCGCATGTGCACCAGCAGCAGCAAGCATTCCTTCAAGCTGCTGGTGCAATGTGCACGCATGTGCTCCCCGCGCATGCGCATGTGCACCAGCAGCAGCAAGCATTCCTTCAAGCTGCTGGTGCAATGTGCCCGCATGTGCTCCCCGCGCATGCGCATGTGCACCAGCAGCAGCAAGCATTCCTTCAAGCTGCTGGTGCAATGTGCACGCATGTGCTCCCCGCGCATGCGCATGTGCACCAGCAGCAGCAAGCATTCCTTCAAGCTGCTGGTGCAATGTGCACGCATGTGCTCCCCGCGCATGCGCATGTGCACCAGCAGCAGCAAGCATTCCTTCAAGCTGCTGGTGCAATGTGCACGCATGTGCTCCCCGCGCATGCGCATGTGCACCAGCAGCAGCAAGCATTCCTTCAAGCTGCTGGTGCAATGTGCCCGCATGTGCTCCCCGCGCATGCGCATGTGCACCAGCAGCAGCAAGCATTCCTTCAAGCTGCTGGTGCAATGTGCACGCATGTGCTCCCCGCGCATGCGCATGTGCACCAGCAGCAGCAAGCATTCCTTCAAGCTGCTGGTGCAATGTGCACGCATGTGCTCCCCGCGCATGCGCATGTGCACCAGCAGCAGCAAGCATTCCTTCAAGCTGCTGGTGCAATGTGCACGCATGTGCTCCCCGCGCATGCGCATGTGCACCAGCAGCAGCAAGCATTCCTTCAAGCTGCTGGTGCAATGTGCCCGCATGTGCTCCCCGCGCATGCGCATGTGCACCAGCAGCAGCAAGCATTCCTTCAAGCTGCTGGTGCAACGTGCCCGCATGTGCTCCCCGCGCATGCGCATGTGCACCAGCAGCAGCAAGCATTCCTTCAAGCTGCTGGTGCAATGTGCCCGCATGTGCTCCCCGCGCATGCGCATGTGCACCAGCAGCAGCAAGCATTCCTTCAAGCTGCTGGTGCAATGTGCACGCATGTGCTCCCCGCGCATGCGCATGTGCACCAGCAGCAGCAAGCATTCCTTCAAGCTGCTGGTGCAATGTGCCCGCATGTGCTCCCCGCGCATGCGCATGTGCACCAGCAGCAGCAAGCATTCCTTCAAGCTGCTGGTGCAATGTGCACGCATGTGCTCCCCGCGCATGCGCATGTGCACCAGCAGCAGCAAGCATTCCTTCAAGCTGCTGGTGCAATGTGCACGCATGTGCTCCCCGCGCATGCGCATGTGCACCAGCAGCAGCAAGCATTCCTTCAAGCTGCTGGTGCAATGTGCCCGCATGTGCTCCCCGCGCATGCGCATGTGCACCAGCAGCAGCAAGCATTCCTTCAAGCTGCTGGTGCAATGAGCCCGCATGTGCTCCCCGCGCATGCGCATGTGCACCAGCAGCAGCAAGCATTCCTTCAAGCTGCTGGTGCAATGTGCACGCATGTGCTCCCCGCGCATGCGCATGTGCACCAGCAGCAGCAAGCATTCCTTCAAGCTGCTGGTGCAATGTGCACGCATGTGCTCCCCGCGCATGCGCATGTGCACCAGCAGCAGCAAGCATTCCTTCAAGCTGCTGGTGCAATGTGCACGCATGTGCTCCCCGCGCATGCGCATGTGCACCAGCAGCAGCAAGCATTCCTTCAAGCTGCTGGTGCAATGTGCACGCATGTGCTCCCCGCGCATGCGCATGTGCACCAGCAGCAGCAAGCATTCCTTCAAGCTGCTGGTGCAATGTGCACGCATGTGCTCCCCGCGCATGCGCATGTGCACCAGCAGCAGCAAGCATTCCTTCAAGCTGCTGGTGCAATGTGCCCGCATGTGCTCCCCGCGCATGCGCATGTGCACCAGCAGCAGCAAGCATTCCTTCAAGCTGCTGGTGCAATGTGCACCCATGTGCTCCCCGCGCATGCGCATGTGCACCAGCAGCAGCAAGCATTCCTTCAAGCTGCTGGTGCAATGTGCACGCATGTGCTCCCCGCGCATGCGCATGTGCACCAGCAGCAGCAAGCATTCCTTCAAGCTGCTGGTGCAATGTGCACGCATGTGCTCCCCGCGCATGCGCATGTGCACCAGCAGCAGCAAGCATTCCTTCAAGCTGCTGGTGCAATGTGCACGCATGTGCTCCCCGCGCATGCGCATGTGCACCAGCAGCAGCAAGCATTCCTTCAAGCTGCTGGTGCAATGTGCACGCATGTGCTCCCCGCGCATGCGCATGTGCACCAGCAGCAGCAAGCATTCCTTCAAGCTGCTGGTGCAATGTGCACGCATGTGCTCCCCCCGCATGCGCATGTGCACCAGCAGCAGCAAGCATTCCTTCAAGCTGCTGGTGCAATGTGCACGCATGTGCTCCCCGCGCATGCGCATGTGCACCAGCAGCAGCAAGCATTCCTTCAAGCTGCTGGTGCAATGTGCACGCATGTGCTCCCCGCGCATGCGCATGTGCACCAGCAGCAGCAAGCATTCCTTCAAGCTGCTGGTGCAATGTGCACGCATGTGCTCCCCGCGCATGCGCATGTGCACCAGCAGCAGCAAACATTCCTTCAAGCTGCTGGTGCAATGTGCCCGCATGTGCTCCCCGCGCATGCGCATGTGCACCAGCAGCAGCAAGCATTCCTTCAAGCTGCTGGTGCAATGTGCCCGCATGTGCTCCCCGCGCATGCGCATGTGCACCAGCAGCAGCAAACATTCCTTCAAGCTGCTGGTGCAATGTGCCCGCATGTGCTCCCCGCGCATGCGCATGTGCACCAGCAGCAGCAAGCATTCCTTCAAGCTGCTGCTGCAATGTGCACGCATGTGCTCCCCGCGCATGCGCATGTGCACCAGCAGCAGCAAGCATTCCTTCAAGCTGCTGGTGCAATGTGCCCGCATGTGCTCCCCGCGCATGCGCATGTGCACCAGCAGCAGCAAGCATTCCTTCAAGCTGCTGGTGCAATGTGCACGCATGTGCTCCCCGCGCATGCGCATGTGCACCACCAGCAGCAAGCATTCCTTCAAGCTGCTGGTGCAATGTGCCCGCATGTGCTCCCCGCGCATGCGCATGTGCACCAGCAGCAGCAAGCATTCCTTCAAGCTGCTGGTGCAATGTGCACGCATGTGCTCCCCGCGCATGCGCATGTGCACCAGCAGCAGCAAGCATTCCTTCAAGCTGCTGGTGCAATGTGCACGCATGTGCTCCCCGCGCATGCGCATGTGCACCAGCAGCAGCAAGCATTCCTTCAAGCTGCTGGTGCAATGTGCACGCATGTGCTCCCCGCGCATGCGCATGTGCACCAGCAGCAGCAAGCATTCCTTCAAGCTGCTGGTGCAATGTGCCCGCATGTGCTCCCCGCGCATGCGCATGTGCACCAGCAGCAGCAAGCATTCCTTCAAGCTGCTGGTGCAATGTGCACGCATGTGCTCCCCGCGCATGCGCATGTGCACCAGCAGCAGCAAGCATTCCTTCAAGCTGCTGGTGCAATGTGCACGCATGTGCTCCCCGCGCATGCGCATGTGCACCAGCAGCAGCAAGCATTCCTTCAAGCTGCTGGTGCAATGTGCACGCATGTGCTCCCCGCGCATGCGCATGTGCACCAGCAGCAGCAAGCATTCCTTCAAGCTGCTGGTGCAATGTGCACGCATGTGCTCCCCGCGCATGCGCATGTGCACCAGCAGCAGCAAGCATTCCTTCAAGCTGCTGGTGCAATGTGCACGCATGTGCTCCCCGCGCATGCGCATGTGCACCAGCAGCAGCAAGCATTCCTTCAAGCTGCTGGTGCAATGTGCACGCATGTGCTCCCCGCGCATGCGCATGTGCACCAGCAGCAGCAAGCATTCCTTCAAGCTGCTGGTGCAATGTGCCCGCATGTGCTCCCCGCGCATGCGCATGTGCACCAGCAGCAGCAAGCATTCCTTCAAGCTGCTGGTGCAATGTGCACGCATGTGCTCCCCGCGCATGCGCATGTGCACCAGCAGCAGCAAGCATTCCTTCAAGCTGCTGGTGCAATGTGCACGCATGTGCTCCCCGCGCATGCGCATGTGCACCAGCAGCAGCAAGCATTCCTTCAAGCTGCTGGTGCAATGTGCACGCATGTGCTCCCCGCGCATGCGCATGTGCACCAGCAGCAGCAAGCATTCCTTCAAGCTGCTGGTGCAATGTGCCCGCATGTGCTCCCCGCGCATGCGCATGTGCACCAGCAGCAGCAAGCATTCCTTCAAGCTGCTGGTGCAATGAGCCCGCATGTGCTCCCCGCGCATGCGCATGTGCACCAGCAGCAGCAAGCATTCCTTCAAGCTGCTGGTGCAATGTGCACGCATGTGCTCCCCGCGCATGCGCATGTGCACCAGCAGCAGCAAGCATTCCTTCAAGCTGCTGGTGCAATGTGCACGCATGTGCTCCCCGCGCATGCGCATGTGCACCAGCAGCAGCAAGCATTCCTTCAAGCTGCTGGTGCAATGTGCACGCATGTGCTCCCCGCGCATGCGCATGTGCACCAGCAGCAGCAAGCATTCCTTCAAGCTGCTGGTGCAATGTGCACGCATGTGCTCCCCGCGCATGCGCATGTGCACCAGCAGCAGCAAGCATTCCTTCAAGCTGCTGGTGCAATGTGCACGCATGTGCTCCCCGCGCATGCGCATGTGCACCAGCAGCAGCAAGCATTCCTTCAAGCTGCTGGTGCAATGTGCACGCATGTGCTCCCCGCGCATGCGCATGTGCACCAGCAGCAGCAAGCATTCCTTCAAGCTGCTGGTGCAATGTGCACGCATGTGCTCCCCGCGCATGCGCATGTGCACCAGCAGCAGCAAGCATTCCTTCAAGCTGCTGGTGCAATGTGCACGCATGTGCTCCCCGCGCATGCGCATGTGCACCAGCAGCAGCAAGCATTCCTTCAAGCTGCTGGTGCAATGTGCACGCATGTGCTCCCCGCGCATGCGCATGTGCACCAGCAGCAGCAAGCATTCCTTCAAGCTGCTGGTGCAATGTGCACGCATGTGCTCCCCGCGCATGCGCATGTGCACCAGCAGCAGCAAGCATTCCTTCAAGCTGCTGGTGCAATGTGCACGCATGTGCTCCCCGCGCATGCGCATGTGCACCAGCAGCAGCAAGCATTCCTTCAAGCTGCTGGTGCAATGTGCACGCATGTGCTCCCCGCGCATGCGCATGTGCACCAGCAGCAGCAAGCATTCCTTCAAGCTGCTGGTGCAATGTGCACGCATGTGCTCCCCGCGCATGCGCATGTGCACCAGCAGCAGCAAGCATTCCTTCAAGCTGCTGGTGCAATGTGCACGCATGTGCTCCCCGCGCATGCGCATGTGCACCAGCAGCAGCAAGCATTCCTTCAAGCTGCTGGTGCAATGTGCACGCATGTGCTCCCCGCGCATGCGCATGTGCACCAGCAGCAGCAAGCATTCCTTCAAGCTGCTGGTGCAATGTGCACGCATGTGCTCCCCGCGCATGCGCATGTGCACCAGCAGCAGCAAGCATTCCTTCAAGCTGCTGGTGCAATGTGCACGCATGTGCTCCCCGCGCATGCGCATGTGCACCAGCAGCAGCAAGCATTCCTTCAAGCTGCTGGTGCAATGTGCACGCATGTGCTCCCCGCGCATGCGCATGTGCACCAGCAGCAGCAAGCATTCCTTCAAGCTGCTGGTGCAATGTGCCCGCATGTGCTCCCCGCGCATGCGCATGTGCACCAGCAGCAGCAAGCATTCCTTCAAGCTGCTGGTGCAATGTGCACGCATGTGCTCCCCGCGCATGCGCATGTGCACCAGCAGCAGCAAGCATTCCTTCAAGCTGCTGGTGCAATGTGCCCGCATGTGCTCCCGCGCATGCGCATGTGCACCAGCAGCAGCAAGCATTCCTTCAAGCTGCTGGTGCAATGTGCACGCATGTGCTCCCCGCGCATGCGCATGTGCACCAGCAGCAGCAAGCATTCCTTCAAGCTGCTGGTGCAATGTGCACGCATGTGCTCCCCGCGCATGCGCATGTGCACCAGCAGCAGCAAGCATTCCTTCAAGCTGCTGGTGCAATGTGCACGCATGTGCTCCCCGCGCATGCGCATGTGCACCAGCAGCAGCAAGCATTCCTTCAAGCTGCTGGTGCAATGTGCACGCATGTGCTCCCCGCGCATGCGCATGTGCACCAGCAGCAGCAAGCATTCCTTCAAGCTGCTGGTGCAATGTGCACGCATGTGCTCCCCGCGCATGCGCATGTGCACCAGCAGCAGCAAGCATTCCTTCAAGCTGCTGGTGCAATGTGCACGCATGTGCTCCCCGCGCATGCGCATGTGCACCAGCAGCAGCAAGCATTCCTTCAAGCTGCTGGTGCAATGTGCACGCATGTGCTCCCCGCGCATGCGCATGTGCACCAGCAGCAGCAAGCATTCCTTCAAGCTGCTGGTGCAATGTGCACGCATGTGCTCCCCGCGCATGCGCATGTGCACCAGCAGCAGCAAGCATTCCTTCAAGCTGCTGGTGCAATGTGCACGCATGTGCTCCCCGCGCATGCGCATGTGCACCAGCAGCAGCAAGCATTCCTTCAAGCTGCTGGTGCAATGTGCACGCATGTGCTCCCCGCGCATGCGCATGTGCACCAGCAGCAGCAAGCATTCCTTCAAGCTGCTGGTGCAATGTGCACGCATGTGCTCCCCGCGCATGCGCATGTGCACCAGCAGCAGCAAGCATTCCTTCAAGCTGCTGGTGCAATGTGCACGCATGTGCTCCCCGCGCATGCGCATGTGCACCAGCAGCAGCAAGCATTCCTTCAAGCTGCTGGTGCAATGTGCCCGCATGTGCTCCCCGCGCATGCGCATGTGCACCAGCAGCAGCAAGCATTCCTTCAAGCTGCTGGTGCAATGTGCACGCATGTGCTCCCCGCGCATGCGCATGTGCACCAGCAGCAGCAAGCATTCCTTCAAGCTGCTGGTGCAATGTGCACGCATGTGCTCCCCGCGCATGCGCATGTGCACCAGCAGCAGCAAGCATTCCTTCAAGCTGCTGGTGCAATGTGCACGCATGTGCTCCCCGCGCATGCGCATGTGCACCAGCAGCAGCAAGCATTCCTTCAAGCTGCTGGTGCAATGTGCACGCATGTGCTCCCCGCGCATGCGCATGTGCACCAGCAGCAGCAAGCATTCCTTCAAGCTGCTGGTGCAATGTGCCGCATGTGCTCCCCGCGCATGCGCATGTGCACCAGCAGCAGCAAGCATTCCTTCAAGCTGCTGGTGCAATGTGCACGCATGTGCTCCCCGCGCATGCGCATGTGCACCAGCAGCAGCAAGCATTCCTTCAAGCTGCTGGTGCAATGTGCACGCATGTGCTCCCCGCGCATGCGCATGTGCACCAGCAGCAGCAAGCATTCCTTCAAGCTGCTGGTGCAATGTGCACGCATGTGCTCCCCGCGCATGCGCATGTGCACCAGCAGCAGCAAGCATTCCTTCAAGCTGCTGGTGCAATGTGCCCGCATGTGCTCCCCGCGCATGCGCATGTGCACCAGCAGCAGCAAGCATTCCTTCAAGCTGCTGGTGCAATGTGCACGCATGTGCTCCCCGCGCATGCGCATGTGCACCAGCAGCAGCAAGCATTCCTTCAAGCTGCTGGTGCAATGTGCACGCATGTGCTCCCCGCGCATGCGCATGTGCACCAGCAGCAGCAAGCATTCCTTCAAGCTGCTGGTGCAATGTGCACGCATGTGCTCCCCGCGCATGCGCATGTGCACCAGCAGCAGCAAGCATTCCTTCAAGCTGCTGGTGCAATGTGCCCGCATGTGCTCCCCGCGCATGCGCATGTGCACCAGCAGCAGCAAGCATTCCTTCAAGCTGCTGGTGCAATGTGCACGCATGTGCTCCCCGCGCATGCGCATGTGCACCAGCAGCAGCAAGCATTCCTTCAAGCTGCTGGTGCAATGTGCACGCATGTGCTCCCCGCGCATGCGCATGTGCACCAGCAGCAGCAAGCATTCCTTCAAGCTGCTGGTGCAATGTGCACGCATGTGCTCCCCGCGCATGCGCATGTGCACCAGCAGCAGCAAGCATTCCTTCAAGCTGCTGGTGCAATGTGCACGCATGTGCTCCCCGCGCATGCGCATGTGCACCAGCAGCAGCAAGCATTCCTTCAAGCTGCTGGTGCAATGTGCACGCATGTGCTCCCCCTGCGCTCACCTCAGCAGCCCCCCTGCGCTCACCTCAGCAGCCCCCCTGCGCTCACCTCAGCAGCCCCCCTGCGCTCACCTCAGCAGCCCCCCTGCGCTCACCTCAGCAGCCCCCCTGCGCTCACCTCAGCAGCCCCCCTGCGCTCACCTCAGCAGCCCCCCTGCGCTCACCTCAGCAGCCCCCCTGCGCTCACCTCAGCAGCCCCCCTGCGCTCACCTCAACGGGGGACAGTTGCTTCCCCTGCAGCTGCGCGGGCGCATAGTCCCGCAGGTCGCTGCACGTGTGGATGTCCTTGAGACACGTCTGCAGCGTGGTCCACGTGGCGTCGTTGTACACCTGGTTCTGCATCCACGAGGAGAACGTCGCCGGCGCGTACACCGTCTGCCCGCGGCTCTTCTCCGCCGCGCCGCCCCCCGTCACCACGAACAAGAAGACTGCAAGAGAAGGGCGAAAAGAGGGGGACGAGAGGGGGAGGAGAGGGGGAGGAGAGGGGGACGAGAGGGGGACGAGAGGGGGAGGAGAGGGGGAGGAGAGGGGGACGAGAGGGGGTTGTGGAGGGAGGAAGAGGGGCGGGGGGGAATGGTTGGGGTGCGAGAGAGAAGACGACGACCCCAGGGCTTTCTACCACCTGACTTACACACTGCGGGCCCCACAGAACCTTATTTTTCGGATGAAGCTCGGCGGAAGGCAGCTTGTGCTGCGCTCCTTGCACTTCTCAGCGGTTCGCTCATTACTGAGCAATGCGCTTATGGAGAGCGGCCTACGCAGCAGAGCTAGGGTGCATGAGATGGCGACTTGGACCCCTGCCCAGACATGGGGCCTCTATTGACGTACTGGTGTAGCCGACGAGCGCGAGGATCCCCGCGAGGGCGAGCGAGAGGTGCGGGCAGCCCAGCCCAACAAGGGCCCCATTCCCCCCCGTCCCTCTCTAAAGGCGGTATCCGCACGTACTGGTGTAGCCGACGAGCGCGAGGATGGCGGCGAGCGCGAGCGAGAGGTGCAGGCAGCCCAGCCCGCCGTGGTCGCACGCGAGCGACAGCAGCCCAACGATGGCGGCGAGCAGCAGCACCGCCGCGATTATCACTAGCGGTAACTGGTACGCCATGAGACAGTGGCTCACGGGCGTGCTGCCAGGGGGGGCGCGCGGGTTAAGGAAGGGGGCAGAGGCGGTATGAAGCAGCGCCGCCGCGATCACCACCAGCGGCGCCTGGAACGCCATGAGGCAGTGGCTCAGGGCCTGTGGGGGGGGGGGGGGGGGGTGGAGGGGGAGGGGGAGGGGCGCGCGGATGGAGAAAGGGGTGCGCGGATGGGGAAAGGGGCGCGCGGATGGGGAAAGGGGCGCGCGGATGGGGAAAGGGGCGCGCGGATGGGGAAAGGGGCGCGCGGATGGGGGGGACCACAGGAGGCGGATTACATGCGGCACACAACGATGACGAGCGGCGGCGCCTGGGAAGAAGAGGCGGCGGTGAGGTTTGAGTCGAGTGAAGACGCCTGGAAGGCGAGGCGCGGGTGGCTCATCGGCGCGCGGCGGAGAGACGAGGCGGACTCGATCGTCTAGATCTCCGTAATCAAGATGGCGTAGGGAACGGCGCAGGGGACGGCGCAGGGGACGGCGCAGGGGACGGCGCAGGGAACGACATTGCTAGACTAGAAGCTCACCTGAGCATAGCCCACAGGCACGTGCCGAGGAGCACGAGTGACAGCAGCAGCATCGAGCTGTGCGACACCGCCGACAGCGACCTGTCCATCGCCATCGTCGCCGCCTTCTGTCGCAGGGGTCGTAATGCAGCCCTAAGAAGAACGACGCGGCGCGACGAGGAGAGCCGTGCGTGACGAAAGCACTCGCTCCTAGAGCAGCGACGCCACTCGAGATCTCAGTGACCGACCAAAACCGATGCGTTTCCCTCCTCACACCGCCACGGCTGACGATGTGTCTCAATCAAGATTTTACTGCCCCACCCAGCCCTACAATTCTCATCTCCCTGCTCGACAGTGAGCTTCTCACGCCAGTGCTCCGCTTTTCATGCGGGGCGACTGAGGGAGTGATGGGGGCGTTGGGTTGAGTTGGGTGAGCTGGGCTGCAGCGAGCAGCCACTGCCGGGCTGGGCTCACTGCTCCGATTGCGAATTGACGACGGATCGGCAGCATGCGAGCGTCGCAGCAGGGATGTGGCGAAACTCGCACAACCGAGCGAAGCCAAGCCTTGATCTCCCTGTCAAGGGCTGGACTGGACCATCTCGAGCAGCGAGCCAAGGGACAAGTTTCTTTCGTCTACGCGTTACAGTAGACGGCGCCTAGTGACAGTTGTGATCACGATGGAAGTCCAGCCAGATGCGGTCCTGACAGAAACGACAAACTATTGTTCACGAATGTGATTTATTGAATATCTACAGCCTCTTAGGGATACACCTAATCTGAAATGTCTCCATATACAAACAAAATGTGCAATGTGGGTCGACATTGGAATAATTTAGGCCACAGTACTTAGTCATACAAATCAACGTACTCGTCATGGTACTGGTCATCATCCTCATATGCTGCTTCTTGATTCCTCGGCTTCTGCTTCCTCTTAGGGGTGCTCTTCCCCACCTCCACCCTCCTCACTGGCCCCTGCCCTTGCTCCGGGTCCTCATTATCCCCCCATGTGCTGCTTCTATGATGTCCTGACCGCGAACGACTCATGGACGGCCCGCGCCCTGCTCCTTCCCCTCCTCCCCCTCCTCCCCCCCCTCCCCCTCTACCAGGCGTCCGTGCCCCGCCCCTATCTGGAGGTGTGCCTCTAGGGTTGTTCACGGACCCCCATGTCTGGTTGCGCGTCAGGCTGTCTTCCTCCTCCTCATCTCCTCCCATGGACCTGTTGCTCCGTCCCGCCCGGCTCCTCTGCCTCGAGTGCCCCCGTTGCTCATACTCCTCATCTCCCCCCACATCATATGATCTATTCCCACCACCACCACTACCACCACCAACCCTGCTTCTCTGCCGGTTGTACGTCCTCCCATCATAATCCTCATCCTCCTCCAAGACTGAAGACCTATCCCCACCACCGGCACCCACTCTACTTCTCTGCCGGTTCAATATCGGCCTCTCATACCCGTCCTCCTCGTCCCCCATCCCCTCGCCCCCCGCCCCTCCTCCCCCATGGTTGACGTGGCTCATCTGCCGCTTGTACTCCGCGCTCGCCATGCTCTGGAAGGTCAGAGCACGCTGGAAGCTCGCACCGCCCGGCCCATTCGCCGGGCCCTTGTCCACGCGGCTCATCGTGCGCTCAAACTGCGCCCCTCCCCCTCCTCCCCCGGCGGCACTCGCCATGGTGTTGATTCGCTTGAAGCTCGCCCCCCCCACGCCTGTGTTCACCCGGGTGAGTGTGCGCTCGAGCGTGGGATCCACCATCACGAACGTGGGCGCTCTCGCCAGGGCGATCCCGTCCGACTCGCTCAGTTCATGCGGCTCCGCGCCCTGGCATGTGGCGCAGCACATGGCGAGCCCGAGGACTAGCAGCACTGCTGCCGCTGCCGTGCTCACATACGCCTGAATCTTGAGGTTGGATTGCAGGAGATTTAACAGCCCCCCCTGGCAGAGAGGGCAGCTGTAGCAGAGCGTGGCGGGGTCGATGCTGAAGGCGTTACAGCCGGGCTGGTTGGCGGGCGTGGGGGTGGTGACGGTGGGGGCGTTGGGGAGGGCGAAGGCGAAGGCGTAGACGTTGTTCTGAGCCACGCTCACGGGGCAGCCGTCAGGGGGCAGGCAGCAACCAGCCTGGCGGGGCAGGGGGTGGGGGAGGGGGGGAGAAAGGTGTTAGGGCGCGGGGAAGGGTGGCCCTTGTGACTACAATCCATACCCCATCCTGTGAGTGCGATTCTCTTCCTCACGTGTGTGAGGGAGCACCTGCATGGCTCACCTCTAGCGGCGAAATCTGCTTCCCCTGCAGCTTGTCCCGTGTGTACTGGCGGAGGTCAGAGCACACGTGCACGGTGTTAGCGAGGCATGCTTGTAACGAGGACCACGAGCCCAGCTGCTGCTGCATCCACGAGGAGAAGCCCACGGGCTCGTACACCGTCTGCCCATGGCTGCTGCTGGACGCGCCCCCTGCCGTCACGATGAAGGCAAAGACTGGCGCGCGGGGGGGAAGGACGGGGGGAAGGGGGGGTGGGGGGGAGGGGAAGAAGAAGGGGGTAAGGGGAGGAGGGGGGAGGTGGGTGGGGGAGGAAAAGGCTCAACTCCATAGTGCACATATAAGATGAAGATGCGCTGCACGTGTTAGGGGGTGCTGGGAGTTGGAGAGGGAATGGAGGGAGTGGAGGGAGTGGAGGGAGTGGAGGGAGTGGAGGGAGTGGAGGGAGTGGAGGGAGTGGAGGGAACTGGGGAGGCATTGAGAAGAAGAGGGAGGAGAGCTGGGCGGAGGAGGCGTCTCAGAAAAGGATGATTATCACACGTACTGCTGAAGGCGAGGAGGCCAAGAAGGGCGAGGATGGCGAGGGTGACGTGCAGGCACTTGAGCCCGCCGTGGTCGCACGCCAGCCCCATGAGCCCCACCAGCGCCGCCAGCAGCAGCACGCCGCCCGCCACCAGCATGGGCGCCTGGTACACCAGCAGACAGAAGGAGGCTGGCGGACTGGGACCGGGGGGAAGGGTGGGGGGGGGGAGGGGGGTGAGGGTAAGGGGGAGGAGGGGGAGGGAAAAGGGGAGGGGGGGGATTATTTTGAGAGAAGAAGTTAATTTGAGTCCTTAGCTTTGGGTTCGTGCTGTTATCCCCCGTGATGCACCACTCATCACCGCAACTCGTCACCGCACCTCATCATGGCCCATAGGGCGGCGGCGATGACGGCGAGAGCGACAGCGAACTCGCACGCGTGGAACACGGCGCTCAGCTTCGCGCCCTCCTTCTTCTTCTTCCCCGCCATCGCGCCTCCTCGCCTCTCCTCTCCCCTCCTCGCCGCGCCGTCCAACCAACTCTCAACTTTCAGGTGAAATCGCGCGACGGCCTCGCTCGGCGCGACGTTACCGAGTCCGCGTCACGGCTTCGCGCTGGGCTGACGACGGCGTCGCACTGGGCTGACGAAGGCGAGCAGAATGCCTAACCTCACGAAGACGACAAAATCGCGCTGTTGACAGTCCGTGTGCTCTGGCATTGGTACCCAGGGTGGACAGGTTTCTTCACGCGACGTTGAAACGCGACATCAGGAATGACTCGGATTCGTTGTTTCAATAGAAAAAGTTGTTCAATTTCTATTGGATTGCTAGTACTGAGGAGCCGTGAAAAAGCTAGTCAATATGGCAGCTTTCTTCGCGCGGCTAGCATCACGCGTTAGGACCTTATTACACACTAATAAAGTTATATGTGTCTACATACGGCTCGTCTTGCCGAGGGCGCCAGTCGCCAGGGTTAGGAGCAGCGAGGGAGGAAAGACGAAAGACGACTGGAGGGAGACTGCAGGATGCGCAAGGCTCAGGAAATTACAGTGCGGGGAGGAATGCGACGAAGTACAGCAGGCGATGGCGGTTGAACGACGGTGATTCAGGAATGACCGATCACTCGGGAAGTGGCGTTGAGGCGATGGGCAGGTGGCTCGGGGAAGGGTGGTGGTGGTGGCGAGAGTGACTGCACCAGACGAACAACTGTTCGCTGCAGTGCAGTTCGCTCTCTGCCGGGATGCAGTTGTGAGGCACAGAGCAGTGCAAGCAGCAGTGGCAGGAGGAGCAGCTCGCACTGCCAGGGCCTGAGGTGTGGCTGCTCGCCATTGGCCAACAGGAGGCACACGCGAAGGTCAACTCCACAGTGACGCGGTTTAGTCACAATCGCGTTATGCTTCATAAACTAGCAGCAGAAGACGTCAAACAGTGCCATTATAGATTATGGATAGCATCTGAAAGACCCCCCTTTTATTATGATACATGTAATGGAAACCGCTATGATCAGAATACATGCTATGATCAGCTTCAAACTCTCCCGTCATACGAATCATCGTCGTATTCCTCTCCATATATGTCAGATTCGACATCAAACTGTTGCCTTGGGCGTCCATCACCATACCGGCTGTCATCATCGTACCCGCTATCATCGCCATAGGTACTCTCCAAGTCATACACCTTGGGGGGTGCAAGTGGCCTTTTGTCTCTCCTTGAAGCAGCCCTCTCAGACTGGCTCCCCTCTTGCCGTAGGCGAGAACCCTCCAACTCTTTCCCATTGGTTGCCCAAGTTTTTCTCCTGGAATGTCTTGTCTCTTGCCTGCCTCGCACTTCCGAACTGGGCTTCTCTTGGCTCGACCGTCTTCCTCTCTTTTGGCCTGATCCGCTCTTGCTGCTGTAGCTTCTTCCAACCACCATGCCCGGATCCCTCTCCCTTTCCCTTGCCCTCTCCCTCTCCCTCTCCCTCGCCTCCCAATCTGCCTCCTCCTCTTGTATTATCTCTTCCCTCCATGCATAGTCCATGTCTTCATCGCCCTCCCACATCGCCTCATCATGCACTACCCGCCGCTTCGGCATTCTGTACCCTCCTTCCCGATCCTCCACCTCCACCACAAAGACCTCCTTGCCTCTTTCCGAGCCTCTCGAGCTTCGGGAACTCTTGGAGCTTCGGCAACTTCTCAAATCCTCGGTGTAGCTGTGGGTGCTCCGAGAGTCGTCGGCATAGCTGCTGCGGCTACGCGTGTCCTCCCGGCTTCTTGTCTCACGTGCAGCATAACTTGGCCGATTTGGCACCGCTTTCTCAACTTGAGTGAGGGACCTATCCAGGGGCCCTGGAGACTTGTCCACGTATGTTAGCGACCGCTCATACTGCCCTATCGCCGCGCCTGCTGCCACGCCTCCAAGTGCCCCCACCCCAACCCCTTGGCCAGGCACCTTAGCTGACAGAGACCGCTCAAACTGTCCAGGGGCTACGGTGAAAGTATTCACTCGGCTCATCGTGCCACTCTTCTGCAACTTACTCGCAGCGGCGGCAGCCGCAGCAGCAGCGGTAGATTTCTCCAACCCCGGTTCGTCGTCATCCAGGCCTGTGAACGCAGCGCAGCACGCCATGAGGTAGAGCAAGAGCACCGCGATTGAGGCCCCCAGGCTGACGAACTTCTCGAGGGCGTAGTGCGCGTGCAGCTGCGCGAGGAAGCCGCCCTTGCAGTACTCGCACGCGTAGCACAGCGCCTGCGGCTCTATGCTGAACGCGCTGCAGTTCTGCTGGCTGCTGCTGCTGCTGTGGGGGGAGTGGTGCCTGCTGCTGCTGCTGCGTGGACAGGGATGTCATTGGGGGAGTTGCCTGCAGATGGCTGCTGTTGCGGCGTGGAGGGTCCGTCGAGTGCGGCGAAGGAGTAGTATGTGGGCCTGAACGTTCGGTTGAGGCAGCCTTGCGGCGGAATGCAACAGCCGGCCTCGATAGGCGGCAGCAGCAGCCCGTTGAGCACGGCGGGGGCGTAGGAGCGCAGGTCGCCGCACGTGCGGCGTTGGGCGAGGCATGTCTGGAGGGCGGCCCACGAGGCGTTGCCCACCTGCGCCTGCATCCACGGCGAGAAGCCCCACGTCGCATACACCGTCTGCCCGCGACTCGTTGTAGGCAGCGGTGTTCCTCCCGTTACAAGGAACGCGAAGACTGCAATAGGGGTTTGAAAAGCGTTGAGGGAGCGGAAAAGAACAGATTATGATGTGAAAAGTACGATATGGTCGATAACGAAAACGAGAAGGGTTGCGAATGCGAAGGGAGCACGCAGAGGAACTCGTTTCAGGCAGTCACTTCCGTCAGACAACAACCGAATCCTGGATACTCATTGCTTCCGGCGACTAAAACATCTGACGAGCACTCACTGGTAAAGGCCGTCGACGCGAGCACGGCGACGAGCGCGACGACGAGGTAGAGGCACGAGAGCGCGTTCGACTCGCACGCCAAGCCACAGAATCCGACGAGCGCGGCGACGAGCAGCGCGCCGCCCACGGCGATGAGCGGCACCTGGTAGGGCAGCAGGCACGCGCCGTAGGTGGCGGCCAGCAGCAGCCACAGGGCGACTCCGATCAGGCCCAGGCCAATGAGTAATAGCGCAACGTTCACAAGCGCGCCGAGCGCCTTGTTCGGCCGCATTTTGGGGGCCTGTTGGTGGGGGGAGATCCTCGAGGGTATGCTGAGAACTGACGGGTTTGCTTCGGCACTGGCTCCGGCGTGCGGTCGACGCAGCGTGCAATGCTGCCGTAGCTAGCGGTCTCGAACCTTCGCGTAGCTCCTGGTGGCGGCTAGTAAAAGCGATGGCAGCGATACGATTCCTAAGAAACGGTTCTAATGGAGGATCTTGCGAAGCTCACTTGTACGTATCTCATGCGTAGACTCGCTGACAGCGGAGCGAGCTCTGTAACGGGGAAAATGCGCCGTCGACGGGTGAAGACGTCGTGTTTCGAGACACGAAAAGGGAGTGCTGGCTGGTTTGTCGCGTGCAGCATGAACTTAGAAACAACTCAACTACGCGAGTGGGGCCCCTGTTTGAAAGCGGGAGTGGGACGGAAACGTGTAAGGAAGGAGACAATCGTATGACACCGCAAGTAGCTGTGTAACTAAGCATAGCCTGTAGGCAGTGAGAGAAAGGCAAGTGAAAGTTGGGAAAAGCAGCACCAGCCGCAGATATGGGGAGACGAGGATTGAATAAAAGATTCAGGGAAGGCGGAGTCAGAAGGAGCAAGTTGGGGAGTGATGAAAGGAGTATTGCAGGCGAGAGGGCGCAAGTGGGGGAGTCGAGATTCGAAAACGCGGCTCGTAATTCGCGACTCGCAAATGGTGGGCAGTGCCCGAGTGACATGCGGCTCGTACTGCTGGCAAACCTGCGCTTGCAGCTGAATGAAATTATGAAATCAATACATGAAGAACAGTGACCACGTCGAAAACACTACAAATTTCCTACCCTTTCTCCATCAATTGTAGACTCCAGCAAAGGGTCCCCTTGGGACATTGCCTTAATAATGTGGGAGCCATGATGGTGCGCTGATAAACCCCACGGATGCATGGCAGTGACACGGGGGGAGTAGAATTTAGCAGGTGTGTTGACGTCGGTGCCTGTGAGGTAAATTACATCCGTCAATGCATGACCGTCCCATTCTCGTGGATGCTCCAAGGCATGTAGCATCATGGGTATAGCCACCTGTCATGGTGTATGCAGCAAGCAAATGAAAGAAGCAAAATGAGGAAGGTGGAACAGGAAGTGAAGGAGGGGATCTACCTAGGCAATATGATAGGAGGGCGAACAACATGTAGTGATAGGGGCATAAGACAAGGGGGGAAGAACAGTGGGCGGCATACATCAGCCACGATGCGATGGTCGGCGAAGATGGGGACGAGGACGCGCATGGCAGGCGCATGGCGCTGCGGGATGTAAAAGATGTCTGATGCCGCCCGGAGGAAGATATTTGACTTGGGGGCGATGGACTGCTGGTACTGCTGCAGGTGCGCTGGGGGAAGGTGAGAGAGCGCCTGCATGGGTGTTGGGGCGCGAGAGCCATAGTGGAAAAGAGAAGGGTGGGGGGGTGGGGGAGGAGATTAGGGGAAGTGTGGACGATCTGAGGCATTTCGACAAAAAACAGAGATCCAATGGACTGGTGGTGTCGAATGGCGCCAGTGGTGGGAGTGATGGTATGGTGATGTGGCAGGATATGGGAGGATATGGAAAGATATGGCACGATATGCCATGATACGGCGCGGTGTGGCATGATCCGGGACGGTGTGGCATGATCTGGCACGGTGTGGTATGATCTGGCACGGTGTGGCATGATCCGGCACGGTGTGGCATGATCCGGCACGGTGTGGCATGATCTGGCACGGTGTGGCATGATCTGGCACGGTGTGGCATGATCCGGCACGGTGTGGCATGATCTGGCACGGTGTGGCATGATCTGGCACGGTGTGGCATGATCTGGCACGGTGTGGCATGATCTGGCACGGTGTGGCATGATCTGGCACGGTGTGGCATGATCTGGCACGGTGTGGCATGATCTGGCACGGTGTGGCATGATCTGGCACGGTGTGGCATGATCTGGCACGGTGTGGCATGATCTGGCACGGTGTGGCATGATCTGGCACGGTGTGGCATGATCCGGCACGGTGTGGCATGATCTGGCACGGTGGCATGATCCGGCACGGTGTGGCATGATCTGGCACGGTGTGGCATGATCTGGCACGGTGTGGCATGATCTGGCACGGTGTGGCATGATCTGGCACGGTGTGGCATGATCTGGCACGGTGTGGCATGATCCGGCACGGTGTGGCATGATCTGGCACGGTGTGGCATGATCTGGCACGGTGTGGCATGATCTGGCACGGTGTGGCATGATCTGGCACGGTGTGGCATGATCTGGCACGGTGTGGCATGATCTGGCACGGTGTGGCATGATCTGGCACGGTTGTGGCATGATCTGGCACGGTGTGGCATGATCTGGCACGGTGTGGCATGATTGGCACGGTGTGGCATTTGCACGGTGTGGCATGATCTGGCACGGTGTGGCATGATCCGGCACGGTGTGGCATGATCCGGCACGGTGTGGCATGATCCGGCACGGTGTGGCATGGAATGGCATGACACGAGGGGTTCCCACCTGAGCCACAGCCTGCTTGAGCAGCTGCAGCGCCTCCCCACTCTCCTCTATCCTCTCACTCGCATCCTCCATGTACTTTACTGCCGCCTCCTCCCCTCGCTCCCCCCCTCCCCCCCCCTCCCCGCCCCATCCCCCCCGCCACCCCGCCCTTGGGTCCAGGCTGGCCACGCGCCACGACTTGTGCATGGGGCCCAGGAACCAGATGCGCGACTGCGGGGGAGGGGGGGGAGGTTTGGGACAGGGGGAGGGTGTGAATTTGCCCAGGAACCAGATAAGCGACTGAGGGAGATGGAGGGGGGAGAGAGGGGGAGAGAGGGGAAAGAGATAAGGGGAAAGGTGTGCATGGCACGCAGACTGGAGAGGGGAAAGAGATAAGGGGGAAAGGTGTGCATGGCACGCAGACTGGAGAGGGGAAAGACATAAGGAACCCGATGCGCGACTGGGGCGGGGAAGAGGATCTGGGAGGGCGGAGGGAGACAAGGATGGTGTGACAGGCGGTGGGCGGTGGGCGGTGACGGGCGGTGACAGGCAATGAAGGGCGGGAAAGGGCGGCGATGGCCGGTGGCGGGCGGTGACACCATCCAGGTGAGTGCGTGGGGAAAAAGTAAATGACACCATGATACCATGTTATGCTGTTACCAAGTTACCTTGTGATCACGATAGTAATGGAGCACAGTGTTGTCATCCTCCACAGGATGCAGGTGAACGCTTCCACAGGACACATGATACCATGTTCTGCTGTTACTTGATGTCTCGATGCTTCCACATGTGTACCGTATCACACTGTGGCCATGGTTCATGCTGCAGTAGGTCGTCATCATCCATTCACAGGACGCAGGTGAATGCACAGCACAGGTCGCACTCAATGGTACAATGTTACCAACACATTACCTCACCTTGTTACAACACCTTGTTACAACACCTTGTTACACACCTTGTTACACACCTTGTTACAACACCTTGTTACAAACACCTTGTTTCAACACCTTGTTATCCCGGCTCATGCTCCAGTAGTTGAGCACGGTGTCGTCATCCATCCATAGAAAGCCCTCCGCCATGGGGTGCCAAGTCAGCAGCTTCGGCAGCACACTGTAGTGCAGCGAGCCGGGCGGGAGGTCATGGCCCTGCCCCGTCTCCTTCACCGGGGACTGTGGGAGGGGCGAGTGGAGAGAGAGAGATGTGGGGGAGGAGAGGAGAGAGCAGGCGAGGGCTGAAGGCAGGAGAGAGGGATGAATAATGAGCGATGTGACGAGTGGTGACAAGCAGTGAAGCACCTCCAGCACGCCTAGGTTGGTATGCCCGTGTGCGTATTCTGCAAGACTGCCCTCTACGCCCATCCCCTCCATTCGCCCTCGCCCCCTCTCCACGTCCCTGTAGAGCGAGTGCAGGATGTCCAGGGTGGCCCCCACCTTCTCCCGGCACTTGTACAAGTGCCGGGATCACACTCTCCCCTCCCTCCCTTCTCTTCTCCTCTTCTCCCGTTCCACACACATACCTCCCCACCCCCACACACACATACCTCCCCATCCCCACACACACATACCTCCCCATCCCCACACACACGTACCTCCATCACGCCAAGGTCGGCGTCCCCATGCTCGGACACGGCAAGAATGCGCTGGAAGAACGCGCCGTACAGCGAGTGCAGGAGGTCCAGGGTCACGGCCATCTGCTGCGGGCGCTTGTAGTTGACGATCAGCACGATGTTACGGTAGAACTGCTGCCACCGCTGCTGGTTTATCAGGTCAGTGGGCTTGGCCTTGCGGCGCCTGCGCACGGACTGGAGGGGATGGGGTTTGGGGAGAGAGGAGGGCAGGTTGGCTTCGAGAAAGACAGAGTGGAGAGAACAGTGGGAGGAAGCTGGATCATGGGGGGGAGCTCGTAATGCGCAGGTAAGCATAGCAGAATATTTCTCATGAAACATGGCGGGAGCTCCTAATGCACAGCTCCGAATGCAACATGGGGGGACCTTCCTCATGGCTTGCAGGCATGAATCATACAACAATTGAACATTTCGGTGCATGTGGCTTCCAGGCATGCAATCATATGTACCACTGATGCGTGCATGGCATGGCATGGCATGGCTGCCATGGCATGGGTGGACTGACCTTGGTTGGAGGAGGAGGGGATGCCGGGGGAGCAGCTGCGGGCAACAGAGAGGGCGCAGAGACAGAGCACAGATCAAGCGTCTGGCGATTGGCTTTACACGACAAAACAGACTGCAAACAAAGACTGGACGATTCATACCATGGGGTTGCATGGGTTGTGCCATGGCGGTGCATGGGTTGTACCATGGTGGTGCATGGGTCGTACCATGGTGGTGCATGGGTCGTACCATGGTGGTGCATGGGTCGTACCATGGTGGTGCATGGGGTCTGCAGGGTTCATCTCTTTATCCATCGCCCTCCCACCACCACCACCATCACCTACAGCCGCTCCTGCGCTCAACCCACTCCCCGCGCCAGCAGCAGCAGCAGCAGCAGCAGCATTGGAGTGTGCAAGAGTGGTGGCCAGCTGCTGATGCCGCCACGAGAGGGATACAACCTGTGGCCGGGGAAAGGGGGGGGGAGCGGGGGAGAGACGGAAAGGCGGGAGGATAGAGGGTTGAGGAGAGAGGGGATGGGGGGGTTTGAGGACAGGGGCGCAGATACACTACATACTCGTAGCCAACAGGGGCACGGCTAGCAGCACGAATACTTATCCACGCACACACAGTGCCACTAGCCAACAAGAGCACAGCAAGTACCCACAGCAGCACGTACCCACAGTAGCACAGCCAGCACGGCCA